TACACATTTGTGTGTGTGTGTGGCGATCTGGCACTCAGTGGAAAGTGAGTGTCAAAATTACAGTTTGACACACTGTAACAGATGCGTATTGTAGGCTGTGGGGCACTGACCATTTCTGTGAACACCCTTCATTTTTTCCCCAGTTTCGGGAAAGGAGTTCTGCAGTGACTGAGAAATAAGTGAAGCTGCCCACAACAACCACTCAAAATGGCTGCAGACAAAGCCATGGCGTACAAAACTCTCCTGGTGATGCTCACGATTAGGACTTGTGCCAAGACCCCAGCGCTCGAGTGCCAGGTGACAAACAATCCTCCCCAGATGAAGTGCATCCTCCGCATAAATGGCACTTCGCCTAGGTTCACGGTCAACGAACCACTTCTTCACAACCCCGGTTCACATTACGACGCTGCGGGGGAAAAGGAGGCATGCCCAAACTTGATAGCAGGCGATGAAGTGAAACGCTTCCTCCTTCAAACTGGGTATGAACTCTCCAACAGCACTGTTTGCCCAACGTTTGGAATGATGAGGGAAAACAAGTGCAGCTGTGACGGCAGTGAAGGTGAGGGGTTGGATGGACTGGCAACCACAACGGGAGCCTTTACCTACTGAGGCCATGTTCGAAACGGGCTTCCAGAGCTATGGCTAGGTCTATTGCCTATGCGTCTCCACGCATTTCGAATGGAGCGAAGACCTAGACCTAGCTGCGAAAACACAAAGATCTCACAGACTCACGGACTGCTCGTGAGACAACTCGCAGGATGGTGAAATTCATCCATGTCAAGCTCAGTCATGGCATCTGGTCCGATGAAGTTAGGGCGACAGGTGACCTTAGACACAAACATGAACCACCATGTAGATTTCATGTTGTTCTGTGCACACAAGAACACTTGTTTCTATTATTGCCCTTCACATAAGAGGCCATTGATTCCTTTGATTGGCCCCAACACATGCACACAGTTTCACACAATGCATGACTGCGTATCAACCGGTTTACATACGCTTATGATATTAAAAAAACAAAGACTTTGTCACCACCCAAGCCTAACCATACAGAACTCCTTGTCAGTCTGTCGGTATGTCTGATAAACCCACATAACTGGTAACCATTCTCTTTTATTCCCAGGACCAAATACTACCACTGAGCCTGCTATTATGGAGAATTTAATGGCAGAATTGAGTTCTCAACAGCCACGAGGCAAGGCTCTGGTGACGGACAACCGGACGTGTTCAAAAGCAGATTTGAGCTCCCGGCGACGTCCCAACAAAACCGCAGTTGTCATTTCCGTAGTGTTGGTGTGGATGCTCAATTCCTGATGCTCAGCAGACAGGACAGGTGTCGCGACGTACTGCTGTGCATGACATCTGGAGATGCAACAGCAATAACTTGCAACCCGCGACAAATGTGCATAAAGACAGTTGTTTTTTTAATTTATAGAAAATTGTTCATTACAAGTTTGTTTTATAATATGATAAATCTATGCACAAATTCATTTCTATTGTATGCGTACAATAATCGCCACTCATTGTAATTTATAATGTCTATGTGGGAATAAACCTCAGAACAAGTTGCCTTAGACATGTCAAAAACATGGTCCTAATACAGCACTGGACTCAGTAGAATTGTCTTTCAAAAGAAAAAATTTGATTACACTTTACAGGTATATTTTCTCAGTAGAATTGTCTTTTAAAAGTAAAAATTCGATTACACTTTACAGGTATTTTTTCGTTATAATTCACTGAGTAACATTCCCAGGTCCATGAACAGGTACCCATAGAGCCATGTACTAGAATTAATTTATTTACGAAGTAATATTTATTGATTTATTTATCTTATGCAGATTACTGCTCAAATTTCATTTTCCCTGAACTAAGCTAGAGCACCACTCTGGGTACAGTGCTACAAAATAACATGGCAAAGGTTTGTACTTGAAAAGAATGAACGGAGGAGTATACCGTACCAGGTCTATCTAAATAATGCACATTAAAATTACATGAGGGTTCAGGAGAAGACTTCTGTGTTTGATGTGGACAATTTACACAAAAGAAAGAGTGCTGCTCAATCAATTGAGCAATTGGTGGCTGGAGGGGGGTGCATTAGGGATCTAAGCCCCCTCCCCATGAAAAGGATCAAAACTTTGCTTAGCTGTAAAAGTGTACATGTAAAGATGTCAAGGAGAAAGTTGGTGGTGTTCATGTCTTCCAGTTAGCCCCCAACCGCCAAGAAAGGCCATAAAATACTACATACAGAAATTTCCAATATGGCCTCCCCCCCAAAAAAATATGGCTCCAAAAACACAAATGTGTAATTTAACGAAAAGAAACAATACTTTGTGTGAATTGTCAAATGCTGAATACCAGTTTAACAAAACTACATGTACAAGGAGCTCTTATGTTCGAGAATAGATTTTTACCTTAGTTTCCAAGTTTTGTAGAAGAGATCTGAACATGTATAGCAGTCTCAAGTATTACCATATATGGGCAACGTGACCTTTCTTTAAGCGCCTACTGATACAGCAATTCTTGTCCAACTTAAATATCTCAAGTTGGCAAAAATGGACTTTAAATGGCGTCATCACAAACGTGTTCTAGAATGTCCACTTGATGTCTGTAATGATTTTATTTTTGTACAGCCAATCAGATTTTTGCAAGCAGAATTTTAAGTCGGCCTTTTTTTGTTCCATAAGCTCCAACATTTAAGACAAGCGTCCCTTAACATGGGAACACCAACAGTCTGTCGTGGTCTGCCAAAAAAGGTCTTGTGATTGGTCAGATTGCACAAGATTTGTGATGTAATATCCCATCCAAATACGGTAATACTCCAGACTGTACATGAGAACATTTATGAAGAAGCTTTGAGGGCAAACAACTTGCTGACTCACACAAGAACACTGATGATAGCCAATGGAAATGCACCAATACATTGATTCTTAGAATTGGTATTATTCGTGTACTTGGAAAAAAGTGTGAGTTCTTGTTTCATACAAAAGGAGACTTTGGAAATGCTTGGCTGCAGCAAATACATCAGTTCCATGTGACTGGTCCATGACCGTTTGCATCACATTTGAGCTACATATACCAGTAAATGTAACGTGCACATGCTCACACTAATACAAACAATAACAGACCAGTCACACAGGATTGGTACTAGTACATGAACAGTATATGCCGCCACCAAACGTCTCGTTTCATTCTGCTAGCATTTCATTTATGTCACGCATCAGTGATCAGGGGGCCATATCCTGCTGTGCCCAGTGGGTAAAAGCCACTGGGTCAAAACAAGAACAGTGGTGCATTATCATCGCCTGTCAGAATACGACGAAAAAAAACCACTTTGAAAAGAGGCAACAGGAATGTGGAAGCGTGAGTAGAGCCGCATGCCACCGAACAATCAGCCTTTTCACCATGTAATTCAAAGCGTGCGGAGCACGCGGGCCCCAAACCGGGGAATTTGCGGTTTGGCAGGTGGCCTTCGTGGCCAAGCGAGGCTGGAATTCTTGGAGTCGGCTTTCGGAAAGAAATTCCCGTCATCAAGGGGTTAATAATCAAGATCTACAATAAATGTAGGTGAGCGTATATCTAAACTGATTCAAGTTGGATACAACCAGGTGGATAGTTACAAATTGAAAATTACAGCGCAAAATGCATGTTTAGCATTTTCCCCTTGGTGGTCAAGGTAGTAATGTTTAGGATGAAGAAAAATCACAACTGGATCAAGTGTATACACAACGAGAAGAGTTATAAGTTTGAGGGAAGGTGGTTTTTTCTTTGTATTTTGAGTTTTTTGAAAATCAGGTTCAGAAAGAATAAAATCTAAGTTTCTATCCATTGGACTTAACCAGCAGGATGAGTTAAAGCTGGGGAAAAGAGTAGGAAGTGGGTATGAAGTTTTTCCATAGGTGGTTTAGAAGTATAGTTCTAAGTTCAAAATGACCAAAGTGGCCTGTCAATGGGTATTAATTTAATCCGGTCACTGTAACTTACCGGTTTTAAGACCTGATTTTATACTGAAGTTTCAGTAAATATAAATAAAGAAATAAATCACAAAAATGGAATCTTCGCTTGGTTTCATTCTCTTATTATGTATGCTGTGGAAGACGTTTCATTTTTGACCCATCATTTGTGAAAAAGTGCTCAACCATTGCAACAGTGTTGGCTGAAGTTAAACCAACTGTTTGGTAAAACACAAAACAGCTGAACATTTGTCGTCAATTTATCATTTTAACGCAAGAAAATTGGGTAAAAAATTTGACACCGTGGTTGGGTAAAAATTTTACACAGAAATTTGATGCCACTCCTATTTCGTAGCGTTTACCCCGCAAACAACCATGTCCCCTTTTCACCACTACAAAGAGTAAAATTTTATGTAACATTGGGTTGAGGATGCAGACGAGTAGAAAAATGTGCAGTGCGACGAATGGGACAATTTGGTGGACTTAAGGCAGAAATGCCGTTGGAGCACCTTCCAGGATAGAACCTGTAATACAGGGACAGAGATGCCACGGAACGACAGAGTTCCAGGGACAAAGCCAGATTGATTCCACCAAGTTAACAACACGCTGCTGGATTCTGTCCAACAAGGACAGAGCAAAAAGAACTTTGTGATACTCAAAAGATATGTTGTGTCCATTAGAACATAAAAAGCTGTCAAATCAATCATTGCCCGAAAACGCTTTCTCACTGAGCAAAAGTAGGTTTATTCAGGTCTTTCTACGGCTATGTGATGTTGAAGAATAATGGAGAAATGATACCCCCAAAATTCTTAATTTATTTCAAAACAAAATAAAAACGGGTTCCATTAAAACATTTGTTAATGGATCTTGAGCCTTTTTCATTTAAATGTTTAAAAAGTCACACTCTTATTAGCATATGATGATCAAACAAGTCCTTAAAGCCATCTTCTTTGCATATTTAATCCACAAACCTTCTTTTGTGTCAGCTGTCTAATAGCGGCACAGAAATCTGATTTTCAAAAAATGCATCTTGGTAAGTAAGGCCAAATGCTTGTGATGGTTTTTTAAGACAACAACTTACCTGTAAGTCTATGAAGGACAAAGGCCATGGTGATGATGGTCACCATGGCATCACTATAAAACAGCTGCATGTTTATCATTATAACCATTTGGGGTTTGTGGATTTACCATTGGGGGAGTCGGGCTGGTGCAGTGATTCTTTCCTCGCCTTCCACCTCTGCAGTCTTGGTTCGATCCATATGTGGATTGGGTTTTCAGTAACTACCTGATTCCGTGGGTTTTATCCAGAATATTTCTCTGGGGTTTTGCTCCCACCTCTAAAACTGTAACTGCTTCTCATTGTCTCCTCTCTACAGGTTTCTTCAGGCTTACGAGCTACAGTGCCCAGGGTGCTTTTGAGGAATCTTTCGTGTCATTATCAGAAATAAATAATAATAAGTGTTGCCATGCATGATGCTTTCATACCACAGCACGTGAGTTAGACACAGTGAGGCATTGTGTTTGCATATATGAGGCAACAGACCAATGTGTGTCCCAGGGCATTCTTGGTGCCCCCTTAAAGGGTCCATGCAAGGCAATTATTTTTAACTTAAAATGTAAGTCCACAGCAATAAGCCAATCAGCGGCCATTTTCTTGGAAATGAATCATCTATTCAGTGGAATGTGAGCGGAAAATTATTGTTTGACACTACCATTATGGCGTTACATGTAACTGTGGAGCTCTGACCATTTCTGTGATGAAAACCTTTCATTTTTTTTCCCCACCCAGTTTCAGAACTGGAGCAAGACTGTGACTAAGTGATAAGCGAAGCTGCCCACAAAGAACAACTCAAAATGGCTGTTGACAAAGCCACGGCATACAAAACACTAATCCTGGTGGTGCTTGCGATCTGGTCATGTGCCGAAGGTGTAAACAAGGACACCCCGGCACTCCAGTGCCAGGTGACAAACAATCAATCCTGGATCACATGCAACTGCAGCATGTATGGCGCTGTGGCCAGATGCGTGGTCAATGGTTCATTTCTGCACTACGCTGGTTACTCTTTCGCATATCTCTTTAACTTTGATACATTTTACACCACTGAGGGGGAAACACATGAACGCGTATATTTGGAAGAAGGCGATGAAGTGACATGCTTTCTCCTTGAGATGGGGCAACTCTCCAACACCACCACCTGCCTCAAATTTGGAGTGATGACGGAAAGCAAAAGCAGTTGTGACCGCAGTGAAGGTAAGATGTTGGATGGCATCCACAACTAGGCCTACATGTACGTAATGAGGTGTCTAAAACACAAACTCACACAGACCCACGGACGGGTCATGTGACAACTCGCAGGAAAATTCATCTCTGCCTATCTGACAGATAACTTGTCGTAGAGATTGTCATAGTTTTCCATTCTCTTAAATGAATTTAGAGACTGAATCGCAGAGAATACTGTGCACATGTGGAAAACGGGGCACACGAAAGTCATTCTCAGAAGCCAGTGTGTATGCACATTTGTGTACATGAATTAAAGATGCATGGAAACTATGAAAAAAGAACCACTGTGTGCCAGACATTGCACACAGCAACACACATGTTTTTATTGCCCACTACGCAATCCGGTTTGAAAGTGACTGCATCACAAAGGCAGATGTACATGTACATGTACCGGTATGTTGACTTCTGGCTCCATGGTTCCATGTAAACAGCAATCAGTGCATGTACAAGTCACTCTATGTGTAGTACATGTGCCATGGGCGTGGTTTAAACTGAAGTGACGTCACTCTTACAAACCGGATTGCTCCTTTTGTGTAGAATTTAACCTCTTAACCAAATTTCAGAGTCTCTACACAGAACACTTGACTGCATATTGAAGTGTTTATTATTGTCATTATCATATTCATTTCTGGTAATGACACCAAGGTTTCATGAACTGAGTGCCCTAGGCACTGTAGCTCGTAAGCCTGAAGACACCCGTGGAGAGGAGACAATGAGAAGCAGTTACAGTTTCAGGGGTGGGAGGAAAACCCCAGAGGATTACTCTGGGTGAAACCCACGGAATCTAGTAGGGACTGAACACCAAATCCACTTGAGGACCGAGCCGGGAATCGAACAACGAGACTACAGAGGTGGAAGATGAAGAAAGAACCATTACGCCAACCTGACTCACTGTTTGCATTCACTTTTGCTGTTTAAGAAAAACGTGACTTTATCTCCTCAGATGAACTGTAACAACAGAACCCCTAGTCAGTCCTTGTCCGAAGAACCCACTGACCTGTCCTTTTTTCCCCTCCAGGACCAAATTCTCCGGCCAAACCACCTACGACTACCAGTACAGACAGTTCTCAACAACTATCCAACAAAGCTATAGCGCTTATTTCTGCGGTGTTGGTGTGGGTGCTCACTTCATAATCACAAACAGGGTTTTCTACGTGCTCAGCCGACATGACCTCCTGCCGTGCATAACATCCAGAGATGCAGCAGCATTGTTTTGCAACTTGTGACAAAGTTGAATATTTATAGATAGTCACAATTTTTTTACTCATCACAAGCTTGTTTTTTAACGGTAAATCTATGCAATAATCCGGTTTAATTAAATACACGCACCGGTAAATTAATATTATCCACTCACTGTAATGTTAATTATCAGTGCCACCTTCAAAAAAATGCCCCACCTCCTACCTTTTTACAAACCAAGATGTTAAACATTTATTTTTTACTGGGCCTTAAGGTAAACACGTCCAAAATACAGGATCCTAATAAAAAAAAAGCCTGGATTGTCTTTCCAAAGTGGTTCTTGCAAAAAAGCAATTCACTGCAACAGTATTTTTAACAGTACTCAGAATTCATAAATCAGTATTTCAAGGCTCATGGACAAGTACAGGGATGCACCTATTTATAAATTTATTTATTTTATTTATCTTAAGCGAACAAGAAGATGGCTGCATCAGACGAAATTGTAAGTGGTCAGAGATTCCTTTTTTTTTTTGTGCTAAATCTTTGCAAACTCGTGGCTATTTAATATGTACAATTGTGTCCATTATTGCCACTGATTTTGTATAGTTTGTTCATCAACAATCTTCCAGCCGGTACGACCAAATATTTGGCTATTCGATTGAATCAAAGGTTAAATAATTGAATAGTCAATTATTCGAATTGACTCCAACCTAACTATAGTTGCCAGTTAACTGAAAGCCCATGAAAAAATACCATACAGCAAGTTTCTTTTAAGAGTTTCCATTATGGCAAAGTTCAAATTACAATTATTTACTCAAAACATTATCTAGTTAATAATATACAGTAGATACCTAACAGTATACACACATGTGTCTTATCTACCCTGTAGCTTAATGTGAGACTGCCAAGAGTTGAATACTGGGAATAAAATACAACAATTGATAGCAGGTGTTAGTTTGATCTTTCTAAAGGCTTTTGAACACGGATTACTATTTCGATTTACTATTTCGTACGTACGATTTACTATTTTGTATGTACGGATTACTATTTCATACATACGGATTACTATTTTGTACGTACGGATTACTGTTTCGTACAGTACGTATGATGTACTATTTCATACGTACGAATTACTATTTCGTATGTACGGAATACTATTTCGTACATACGACATAGTTATCTGCGTGTTGCATTGCCAGAGTGAGTGGCATACCCACCACAACACATGCCTACATTCGAGTCACGTGCTTCGATAGCCGCACATTGCAATCACTCGTCCCAACTATCAACCGCAGTCATGGCTTCAACTTTGGATAAATCCACGGAAAACATGTCCAGATTTTTGAGTGGGAGAGGGGTAGAAGATGCAACTTTGTCAAGGATGAAAGCTGAAAAGGTGAGACCTTGCAGGAATGCATTCTCCCTGTTGTGTGTTTGTAGTTATATGCATCACTAAATTCCAAAAAGTGAAAATTCATTGTAGGCCCATGTGTCCTTTCACCATGGTAGGCGCCTACTCCAGTTAAATTTCAGATCCTCCAATCATGGAGATTGAACTTACGAACTGGATGAATTATACTGAAATTTTTTTCACTCCATTTAATTGACATTTCACTCGAGATTCCACCAGAAGGGGTTACTGTCAGCCCTTTTCAGTCCAAAGTTAGGCTCATTTTCCATATGACTCCATATAATGTCTTGTCCTAGAGCCTGTGCGCCCCTATAACCCTAGGGTGTTAGATAAGGTCTGTGTTGGTTATCAGAGAGGCAGTGCATGCACAGGCTGGATAATACAGTATATTCATTTTTGCTCAGGAAATGCTGGTTTGAAGGCAGAATATCAAGACAGACACCATAAAAGTCACCTGTAAGTTTCAGCTCCATAAAGGTGCCTACTTATTGACAACGGCAAAATGGTCACAGTATTTTCATCCAAGTTTTTGAATCCATTTAGGATCACCTAGAAGATAAAGCGCAATGGAAGTAATGTGAATAGCCCTCCGCCCTCATTATCACAGCAGGTGTCAATGCCGTCTCGCTATGATCTTCACTGCACCCATCCTTCCATAAATCAGCCCCAGATGCTATACCCAGCAAGAAATGAGACCGAGGGGTACCCCCCCAACATGTCCAATCCCTATACACATTCCAGACTACTGTTACTTAACACACAACCCCCCAAGATGTCTGAGAGGAATTCCCCAGATTCCTGCGAGACAATGACCAACACAAAGCAGGGGGGGTTCTCTCCGTCTAATACCTCGCTGCATATGCCAGATGCTGGCACTGCAGTGGCAGCGGCAGATTCTTAGCCAAGGGCAGTCTAAATATCAATTAACATAATGTTACTGTCTGATGACTAAGATCAATAATAATACCAGTAATTAGAAGTGGCAGAATAGTGGGTGTTATGCTGAGAATGATAAACATATTGTTACTGCCAGCTAAAGCTGTTTGGGCAAATCAGTCACATTGAAAATAGCAATAAACTTGCTTCAGGCATTTTTGAAACAGGTAGCATCTCCAATAAGATCAGTTAACTGAAACATCTGACTAGCCAGTTACACAAGTCACTTCTAAAATATATGTACGTGTACATGTAGGTGTACGGTGATGTGATGGCAACGACCAATTAAATGCCAAAGTATCAGTTGCAGACCAGCGGTACAAAAGGCAATGCGTGGTTGCCAAGGTAATAACCTGGTCTATTGTGCCCCTTAAATTTGCGGTCGTGCTCAGGGCTCTATTGTGCTGATGAAATGTTTTTGTACATGTATACTGTACCACCACAAAAAAATCTGCTTCCTGTGTATAAATGTACCGTACACTGTACGCATAAACAACAAAGGCTGGGGATCGACACCGGTGAAGTTTGTTCAAACACTTGTTGGTTGAACGAGGGAAAAATCCATTTCCTCGTAGTCAAGAACTGTTCTGCCCAACACTGATAATCATTTCGTCGGTGCTCTTTGAGTATTACATGGTCAGATTGCCACGATTAGGACTGGTGCATGACTGGTTCAGGATTCCTTTCCGCAATGGCTGAATGCTCATTCCAATTCATCGGGATCCTGGTCCTGGGCCTCTCCTGTCTGGCTGAAGGGAACCTTACAGCCCCTAACAAGGTGACACTCCCGGTCGGTGAGACTATACGTGTGACCTGTGCGTACACCCAGGATGACGCTGACGACGTCTGCCTGCGCTGGAATCAACCACCAACTGAGCATGTCAACTACACTGAGGCCCACAACACCACTGGCCGCTTCCTCACCATGGAGGTATGAGCTGTCGAGGAATTCACAAGGACTTTCACTTGTAACGCCAGGGGCATGAACGGAAACAGAATTGACGAGGCTTCAACTGTGTTCGTCAGCTGCCCAAAAGAAGAACTTGAGTGCGACATACAGGAATCTGTGGAAGGTTGCAAATTTGAACTAATGTGCAGGTACATTCCAAGCTGCTTCACAGTGCTTCGATGCAAATTAGCAAATAGATTACTGGACTTTCCTGGCTTGACCAAAAAGGGGGACTGGTGCACGACAAAATACTGTGAAAATGGCCCGCTAGGCGCCGACAACGTGCTGTGTTATCTCTACTCCAACACCTTGCCAGCGCATCTGCAGACGAGGGTCGTCATTCCCCTGCCGTCCACCCTGACAACATCTGCTGCCTCTACAGCGGAACCGGTAACACCACCTGCCGAACCATCACCACAACCACCGGACTCGCCTGACAACTGTAAGGATACACCCACATGCAACGATAAATGGCCTCTCTGCTTCTTAACCTTATTGGCCATCTTTCCAATTGCAGTTGCAGCATTTGTAATCATACGTGACGAATGCATCAAAAAGTCACAACCGCAACCATTGTAATTGATCACTCCTTGCCCATTTTTTGCTGACGTAATTCTGCTACAATGATTCGAATCATTTTGTTAGAAGCCTTTTTGATTTCATGCTAATTGTAAATAAGCCTATTTGAATATGCAAATCTTAAACTGTGATGTAATCCCACGCAACTGCACTAATTTGTGCATAAATTTATTTTACAAAGTATCATTATAAAAGATCGCCATTTCCTTCAGCAATTTACGGTTGAATAGGTATACATGCCAGCCAACAACCGTTTCTCAGATGTAGTTTAAAGAGCAAATTTTGGGGTACAAAATTTAAGCATTAAAACATGTAAACTGAAGAGTGCCTTCCGGAATTTACATTTGTACATCACAATGACAAAGCAGTCACTTGTCTGGTAAAACATTAACTTTACAGTTGACGTAACTCCGGACAGATTCCACACAGAGTTTATACACTGAAGAGGGGTTTGAACATGCACGAACATGCACGAAAAGTGATTACAAGAAAAAGTCATTATATCATTCCTTTAAAGCACAGGCAGAATATTACCATTACAATGGATGTACATTAATTTGGGTAATGTTTGCCCATTGTCCACCGCTTGAGTTTGGTAAATTCACTGCTGACAGCCGAACTGTTAAAAACGAGCATGTTCAGATGCACAACGCTTACATGTCCAAATTTGCCTCACAAAGTTGCCTCATGATTCAGCTACACACAGTTTGTAAGTTCAAGGCTTGGTTTATTTCGTCCAATTGTGTGGTTACGAAGTAGTCGACTTCCACCCCGTAGCTGGAACTTCTAGGCTCACATGCCGTCAGAGTTGTAGTTAAGTCACTCGAATTGTTGGAGTCTGAAGTTCACATATCACTTTATAAATCTCTCCATCTTGTCATATTTAGTCAAGTTTTCATTCAGCGTTTCATAAGTTGGAGTAAACATTTTGTCTGAGAGACTGCAGCTTAAATACATGTATATTGATATCAATAGGAATAGTAGAGTGCCGGCAATATCTGTTATAATATCAACAAGTTCGTATTAAAAGCATTATGCTTTTGTCTAGAAGTACATGTCGTTGTTATTTCTTATCAATACAGCGTAGCGGTATTTCTCTCCCTACTTTACTGGGTGCCCCATTTGATGAAATGTGAAGTTCTTCTTCCCCTTTGTTTCAAAGACCAAATGCCAATTTAGCACTAATCACTCGTGAGAAATGTACACGTACTGTATGACATGCGACAGGCAAAATATCGGATACATTGGGGGGCTTTAACGATGCACAGAATAACTTGTTGAACAACGGATAGACAAGATATGTACATGTACAGCACATGTATCCACACTTGTTCTTGTATTTAAACTTACATGTACATGCACATGAACAATTGACCGTTTACATCAAATTTAAAAAGTGCGAAGTCTATACATGTGTACACAAAACACACCGTACCACCAAACATGGGCATTACGCATCGTTTTACAATGAGTCACATACAGTGCAAATTCCTGACTTCATGTACCGGTATTGTGCAACCCTTTGCCTCAAGTGTGACAATGGTCCAAACTCCACTTCGGGTGGTTCCAACTTCGGCTGGGACAAGCACCACATTTGGATTGGTGTGGTTGCATGGCCCTCCCATATATTGCTGAAGTCCAGTAATATCTCTGATGACAGACCATTTTGTGGCCCACGACAAAAAAAAGAAGGTAAGAGCCAACACTGGGGTCAGATATCGTTCTTGCATGTCCGTGAAACTAAAGGCAAACGGTGCCCTCAAAATGGCTCTGTTTTGGGGCGGTGGGAAGGAAAGTGTTTCATGTACATGTACCTTGGGGGTGATGATCAGTTTTGGACAGATACAGATGAGTAATAATGGGTTGATTTTATGTGTTTCTCTGACATCTTAGAAAGTTTATTTTGGCTAATTTTGCTTTTCTCCACTGCAATGTTTAACATTGCCGTCTACAAGTACTCATTAATTGCTAACTACAGTTGGAAGGCTAGCTGACACAAGTAAAGCTGGTACCACTGCCCTGGTTGGGGTATGACGCTGGCATTGTCACTTGTGCAATGTATTGAGAAGTGACTTCTACGGAGCATGAACACCATCCGCTCCCGGCTGAATGCAGTCTTTAACTGTTGTAACCTTTTTTTTTATCTCAGGCACTACACACTTGATTTTTCTTTTGTACTCACTCGTGAGTGAATAAATACGGCAAATTGTCTAAAAACAAATTTCATGGCACCACTCTCCCCTTCAAAAAGCCACATTATCCTCAGGGTGCAGTAACTTTGTAAAGACGCTGACCTTGTGTACATGTATACGTACGGTACCATACAAGGGCTTAGAAGTGCTAAATATGGCTCATTTCCTTATTGAATGAATACAGCCCACTATTGTATCCCTGTCCACGCTTCTTTGCATTTTACACCACAACACTTTGGCAACAAGTTATTGCACAATAAGAAGAGATCTCTCCCTGGCGTTTTCCCATTTTTGACCTTCAGCCTTCAGCTACTGCGGTTTTACCCTTGAACTAATTTCATAACTTCATAACCCCAGTTCTTAAAGCACAAGTGCAGTTTACACCACTGGTCCATGTTGGCACACTTTATGAGTTGCGACTGTACGAGTAGAGTGAAGGTTGGAGATTTGAGTCCCTCTCTGCAACTAGAAAGTAAATGCTCTTCTTTGAACTTTTTTATTTAATTGACACAGTTTTAAACTTGCCGCAGAAAATGGTTTCCAATTTCACAATGCGTGCCCTGGTGCTCTTGTGGTGGAGTCTCCTCGTGAGCCACCTGGCCTGGGGAAAACTGGAAATTCCGAGTGTTGTCAAACTTCACACCGGCCAAAGAACACACATAGAATGTGTACATACATGCCAAAGAGATGAGTGTGAAGTTCGACTTGGCTGGGTGAACCTACCCCCTGAATTCCGCGGTTTTGAGGAGTGCTTCAACGCCACCCACCACTCGCTCAAGATGAGCACCGAGGCTGGACGTGAGGAGGTGCCCAGCAGGCGGCGCGTCACCTGTGTCGCCAGGGCGACAGACGGGGCCACGTTGGAGGAAACATCAACGTGGCTGGAGATCTGCCCGACTGAAATGCTGAAGTGTAAGCTGACGAAGGAGCAACGTGTACCTGCAAACTTGGCCCACGCCAGTTACCTGAGTGCATGTGAGTTTGTAACTATGTGCGGCACAGCCCCCCTCTGCGAGGCTAACGGCGAGCTACTTGACTTTCTTGACTTCAATGCCACAACAGAACCGCCCGTCAATGTGTTTCGAGCTATTGGTCTCGCACCAGGAGACACTGTTACCTGTTTCCTCCTTTCTGACAAAATGGAGCCTCATCTGCAAACCCGTTTTGAGATGACGGTGCCGTTGGAATCCGAGACACCAACACGTGGTTCGCAAACCACCATCAGACAGCAAGCGTCCACCACCAAGACCACAACCTCTACCACAGAGACCAAGTTGTCCACACCACCCACATCTCCAACCAACCAGTGCCCTTTGACCCCCTGCGACTGCACCGCGCCCTGGGTTCTGTTTGCCTTGACTTTGATTGTGCTCATATGTATCATTGTTAGAATTCTGCGCAGGTATGTGAAACAAACACCCGCGAATCAACGCACTTGGGAATCATTTCATAATTATGTATGTATGTGTAAGTATGCTCTTAAAGGAGTAAACACAACCACTGAAGCTTTTAGTGAAATTAGCTTTTCAGACTAAGGCAACCATCCTTGTAAACTTTGAATACAAAAACATGGCCCTGAATTTCAGAGACATGAAAATAATCACCTGACCCGTGACATGGTACTCCATTCAAAGCAAAAGACTTGCATATATATCACAATGTATAACGCTGTATAATATCACCACGTAACTGCCTCAGCATAACAGTCTGGTCCTTTTTCAAGTCCAACATGTGGACTTCAGATCCAGCTTCTGTCTACAAATATGGACTGCTGTTTTGTATGGGGGGCTCTATGTTTGTAGAAAGCACATTTCGCATCATCAGTGTCAAAATAGGAATAATTCCCGCTCAATATGTAGAGTAGTTTGTTTGATTTGCGTTTTAAAGAGTCAAAGCCTTTCCAGCAATCCCTGCTCACCACGTCCCAGGTGTAATCTCTGGCTATACATGTACATGGACCAAATTATTTGAGAAATGAGTTGTTTCTCGCTTTTTGATTTGAAAGACAAAAATTAAACGAGGAAAAAAAGTTCTTTCTCGTCTATCATTTAAAAATGAAAAATGATACCACATTTTTTTTTCGTTTTTCAATGTAAAAACGAACAACAGCATAATTTATTGCTCCAATATGTAAGAATGAAAAACAGGTCCATTTTTCATGGTGTAATGTAAGAAACATCTTTGTAAGCCATCAAATCAAACATGGCTGAACTGGAGGAGTACAAGGAATTTGTTGCTTTTATAGTAAAAGTAGGAGCAACTCAAAGGGAAATTTCATCAATAGCAGTGTTCTGAGATGTCCTAGACACTTCCTCGAAATTACGTGCGCAGTCGAACAAAACTGGGATTAAACTTTAAAACAAGATTACTTTCAGTTTTTGTTTTCAACAGAAAGCAAGAAATGACTTCTGCATCTTTATCCTCATGTTTTGTTTTCAGAATCGAAATATGGAAAACAAGTTGTTTTGAATGTTTGATATTCGTTTCCAAATCTAAAAACGAATGAACGAAACGTACACAGACCCATTCCCCCATCATGGGTTGTTTGATTATACATGTATAGTGTTCAGCATAATTATTTATTACAGTATGTAACTAGTGTTTTTACATATTTGGTTAAGTAGTCATTTGGTTTTGTATGCAAGGCTAGCCAGAGTCTTACTCTTGCCAACCACAGGCCAGCAAAATGACAAAAGTCTAAATACCAAGAATTTTAAAAATGGGTGTATTTATCTGTATTAGGACAAGGGGCATGTGCACTTGATATTAAGATTTTTCCCACCACTACTGCCCCGGAAAAAGAATGAATCTGTAAATCTTACATGCAGATGAAATCTGTATTGCTTTGGGAGTGGTCATATCAAGCAAATCCCAGAGTAAACAAGTTTGAAGTTGTACTTTGGAGTGGCACACAAATTGTGAAAATTATGTACATATGCAGTACTGTATGTTTCTTCTCTTCCGATAAAATGCTAGCAAGATTCATGTTTTGTACCATTTTTTTCAAGTCTGAAACTTCTCTAGAAGGTATCAAAAAAAGAGGATAAACAGTGTCTGTCTAGGACTGTGCCGAATATCCGAATAACCGAATATTCGATCGATTGTTGAATATTTGAATTTTATTTTTTTAATTTGAATATTGAAATGTAAAATTCATGAAAAAGGAAGGGAAAATTTTCTTCTGTTTCAAATGAGAAAAATTGCACTATGGAGGCTTTTTTCTAGCAAATTCAAATGAAAAGCGTCAGAAATCTTACAACCATTTCTAAAGTACATGTTAATCATTCATTAAACAATTTAAAAGGAATAGACATTTTCAACCGGGCAAGAAGTCTTGTTCACCTCATAAATCTTGCTACATCATGGCTGGAGATACTCGTAGATGTGAGAAGCTATTATATTGATCACAATGTATAATTGTGTGTGTTATTACAACTGATTTTGTATATGTTTGTGCATCAACAATGTGCCGGTTGGTGCAACTGAGTATTCAGATATTCGATCAAATTGAAGCTTGAATATTCAAATAGTGAATAATCCGAATTGACTCGGCTTTACGTCTGTCACTGATATACATCTGTTGTTAAATTTCACATTAGAGTTACATTGCCATGTAAGGGATCCTTTGTAGAAAGAGTGAATGCGGTGTTTTATCTTCAGCTCAATGTAAGTTTTAATTTAACGCTTAAATGCATTATGTCTGTAAAAATGTGATACACTTGGAAACCTAAATTGTGAAAAACGTCTCAAGGTCTGCTATTGTGCATGCATGTCAGTGTTTCATGATAATTAATGCTAATTGAATTTAAGCAATAAATGTTCGTAACTGTTGTGGCTATTGCACCAATGTATGCGTTAACTAAAGACTTCGACAGTTTGCAAGAGACAAATAAACAATATACATGTCGGTGAAAACAATCCACATCGGACGGTCAATTTAGGGCAAAAATGAACAGGACTGTCACCTTAGTAATGAATCGCATTACAGACACTGCGCATAGCACCAACCCCTTTTTTTCACACCACTTTGGCTGTTAAATGCGTAATTGTTAGATCATGATAGCTGCACGTACATTACATCATCAGGGCCAACACAGTACAGTAAACCAACAGAACTTTCTTTGTAAACACAACAGAAAATGGGGAGACATAAATTGATAATGGGCTCCATTTATGAAGAGTGAACAATTTTACCAAGTGGTCATCTTCTTTGGGGAAACACAGTGCAAGTGCACACTTGTTCAATTACATCTGGCATAGAATATGCAGTAATGATGATGATGGTAATGACATCAATGACAACGATGACGGTGACAATGGTGACAGTGACAAAAGGTGATATTGACACAAATTACCATCAATTCCCTGATGTGATTTTGACTGGGTACTCACGTATCTCAAAACAGCCTCTTTGCCTGCAAGTCGACTGAACTGCTCCCTGGCAGCGTCTAGGTCCACGCCGTGGTTCTGCCGACTACTGCCAAAATGCGCACCATCCCTGCCAAAAAATGAACCACCCGTAAGAAACCTGTTCATCAATGATATCTCAAGCAAGTAAATTTCCATTGAAATACTGTTTAGAAAAGAATTTTGGGGTTTTCCAAAGGCCACAATAATTTTTAACAACAGAGAAGCTTTGAGAAATGAAACATTAATCCCATTCTCTGGAGGTTCTACCCACATGCAAAACCAAGAAGAAAACAATTCCAAACAGAAATTGCCTTTTCAACAAACGTGCAGAAAAGCCGATTTTCTTACCCTTTGAGAAAGGAGGCGTTGAGGCAAGCAGCAGAGGAGAAAATTTCTTCAACGGAGCTCATGACAGCCTCCGACAAACCCTCGTCGGGTGGGGCTGCCTCCAGGGTGTCTATGAGGATCGCATCAACAGTCGCTATGTGGTCATCGACGGAGATCTCCCGGTGGTCCACAACCTCACTGGAGTCCTGGGGGAAGAGATGGGCAGACGGTCAAGGAGAGCTAGGCTAGTCAAATTCAACTGGCTATGGCTCAGAGCAGCACATGGTCTATGGGAAGTGGCTTTGATTTCTAGCCACAGCCATTAAAATTCAGACATATCGTGCTCCGTGGAAAATAAACACAACAAAGAACATGTGACGTGAGTTGGCCTGCAGGACTTGCTAAGCTCCATTGGTAGAACACTAGCATGCAGTGTCATAGCTACGCCAGTCGGGGATCTCAACTACAGTGTTCTACCTGGACGGCAGAACAATGTCGTGGAGATCCCCAACCGGCGGCCGACCGGCCAGATGCAGTAAGCTTCATGAAACAGCCCACCGACCGGCACAAAAATACTTACAAATATTTTTGCCCAAAAGAATTTTTAAAAATTGGAACTCTTAATCCATTTGGAAAGAAAAACTCACTGGAAAGCGGTCTAGAGTGCCATTAAGCGGGCCCCTGGACCCTTAGCCATGACTTGGGAGACACTGGTCGTTTCGCTCCCTCCGTTTGCTATTATTAAATTGTCCCACACTAAAATACGGCTGACTTATAACACTGCTTGCATGATATTCCAGAAGTAACTGGCTCGAATCCCAACTCAGTCAATTTTTCATGGAAAACCCCCAAACTGTCCCTGTACGATTTCGGCCGTTTGCACTCAAAAGACAAAAAATCCTCTGTGATACACACTGTCACAACAAATGCTCAATATGTTGATTGACAAGACCAGACACAAGTAGCAGGGTGAACAATCACAAAGAAATGATTCTGTCGCACTTCATAAGAGGAACTCGTGACTTGGCTTAAGACCGAGACGACTCGTTTTGGTCTTGTGCTGGTCTTGTGGGATCATGTGATGGTCACAAGACAGCTTACCTAAAACACTGCAAATGCTACGGAGCACAAATCTTAGTTTGACTCCGGTTACTTTTTTGACAACTTACGCGTACCTTTGCACAGGTTGCCAGTAGAAAGCAGTGATTGCCTCCGCTGAAGATGGCTCTCACCCGCATTCTTTCCGTCTCATCTTTGGTTCCTACCGGTGTTCTTTTTGACAGTCCCCGTCGTAACCTGTGAAAGTTTGTGTCTACCTCATAGTTTGTGAAACTGTCTGTCTCCATGTCTTCTGCGCTATCCTCGTCCCTGTATGTTGTTTCGGGTGCCAGCATGTCGCTGTTCATGTCAAAAATGCTTTTGTCCAGTTCTGCGACATCGTTTTCAGATTGCACTTTCTTGAATTCTTCCCCCGCTGGCTCGCCCGAGGATTCTTCTGCCTTCTCGTGACGCTTGGGCACTTTGTCGCCGATAGTATCTCGGATGGACTCTCCCTCGGCCCACGGGCCATTGACTTTGATCGGAGCGCTTAGGCTCCGTCGGTAGACAGGCCGACCAGTTGGGGGCTCGTGCGTTAACAGGCCAAACGAAAACACGCGTCCGCTTGTACGGATGAATGCCAGGGTGTGACAACTGGAAAAAACAGCAAATCAAAGGTAAGTCACGCTGGCATAGCTTCCATTTATAACGACTGACTTCATGACCTCACAGCCATTTCATTTTGGGCATGTACGTGCACTGTTGCAACACTGAACTAGTTTTTTCTAACCACAGAATCTGAAACGTCAAAATGAATGCCCACACAGACAAATCTATTAGTTTAATTGGAAAATTTTTCCTTTCCCCTAGTCAAAAAAAAATTGCTGTCAAAGTGTTGGAAAACACTAGGGGATAGACGACATATTTGCAAACCACTCACGAGTCTTGACGTGGCTCCTAAGAAAGGAAAAATTAAAAGAGCGCCCTCGATTGTCCAGGCACGGAGCATACAGAGAGAGCCAAGGTGCAATAACTGGGCACTCACCTCCCACAGGCAATCTGCGTGACCTCGCTGCCCATGAGCTCAAACACTTTGCGGGGGTTGATCTCGTTGCTGACTGAGCTGTGGCCCAGCTGCCTGTCTGCGGCTGAGCCAAACGTAAACACCCCGCCATCCTGCAAAAATCATGTTGTGGGAAAAAATTGAAACCGACATCATGTAGACGGGCAAAACGAGCATCTCGCAGTGGCACTTTTTCACGTCTGTGGAACTTTAAAGTGTAATAAGACTAGTTAATACTCTGGGTAAATGCAAAAAAGCATAGTGTAATTGACGTCACAAAACATTTGCAGCGAAATTTGCTGCCATTGATGTGTGCACAACGCTTGCAAATAGGTAGCACGAATACCTGATCTGACATCACAATGTCGCATTTGTGTTCACTTTTGCGCCACGTATGATCCGGCCTTTTGATACTTTGCTCAAGAGACACTGTTGCTGAATAATTTGCATTGGCCCTCAGAGAAGTCCTTCTTGAAAGGAGTCGTTATTCACTGATACTCACCGCAGTCAGGACGGCTGTGTGATTCATCCCACATGCAATGTACCGGACCTTTTGTGAGCGAAGACTTCTTAGGAGAGTGGGTTGCGACCGATCTGTCCAAGAAACATCAAATGAAACACTCGTGGTCAAAGGCTTTGAAACAGGCAACAGGAAGATGATTTCACATGTCTTTTCCTAAATGGAAATATCTCGAAAAATATGATGAATGTTTTTGGCCACGAGATGAAGTTCATGTGTCGTCTGAGGGACTGGTTAAAGTCATGTGAGTGAATGCAAGAGTTCATTTTGGAATTTTTTGCCCTGTCCAACGTGTATTTTAACACTGTATACTCAGTGTATGCCCCCGAAGGCTTGTGGAAAAAACCATAAGTGTACTCGGGTGGGAGTCGAACCCATGACCTCTTGCTTATTAGTGCAGACGTCTTAACCACTCGACCACCGAGCTTGGTTGGAATCAGATGTAACAGCAGGCATCTCGAACAACTATTTCAAAGATGGTTAGTCGACACAGGCAAGCTCGGTGGTCGAGTGGTTAAGACATCTGCACTAGTAACCAGGAGGCCATGGGTTCAAGTCCCACCCGAGAACGTTTATGGTTGTTTTTCACAAGCCTTTGGGGACATACATTAAGTATACAGTGTTAAAATGCACGTCGAGCAGGGCAAAAAATCCAAAATTAATTTCGTCCCCGGCACAAATCCATCTCTGAAATGGTTGAATGCAACAGTGTTAACCTTCTGTATCGTTGATGCCCAGCTGTCCGCAGTGGTTGCGACCCCAGCCGAATATCGTTCCCGAGACCGAGACCACAAATGAGTGTGCCCCGCCGCATGCCACCCGCATGACCGGCAGACCGTGCAGGGACGTGATCTCGTTGGGCCTTTCTAAGCATTTTTGCAGAATGTGGCCGAGGCCTAGTTGGCCGTAGGTGTTGTCTCCCCACACAAAGAGCTTGCCCCCTGAAGAACAAAACATTTCAGAAATTATAGCCGATATTACTGATAACATAAACTGGATTCGTCCAGCAGGTATATTTAACTCGTACAGAAATGGCATTAAAACCAAATGGCCATTATGATTTTCGTCAAGCAAAAACCCTGTGAGAGTTTTGAGTAGAGTTTGTTTCCTTGGTTACCAATCAAAACTCAGATTCAAATCTAACGCCACCTAATATTTACAATCATGGCAAATGACTCATAACTACATTTGATTTTCAATGAGACAGTGTGCTATTTGAAAAAGGCACGGCCAATCAAGAACCAAGCACGCATGCGGGCTGGCATATGGACGCCCTGATGGGGCAGACATCGCGCGCGCGCGTACTGCTGTTCTCCAATGGCCTCGGACACGCTTCAGTCTGGGTGTGCGCTGTTGGGATACCGAACTGGGTCATTAGAACGAACAAAGTTTGAAAGTAAGCACTGCTGTCCCATTTTTGTCCTACCTCTTGTGAGGGCGATAGAGTGCGCTCCTCCGCAAGCAACTTGAACGACATGGTGCACGGATAGTTGTTTCAGTAATCTAAACGTAGTACCAAATGATGTAATCGCAGTCAAAGATAAGAATTTATCAGTGGCAAGAAGTTGATACACTTTGAATTATTTATTTCGCAAGTTAGGAAAAAGTTGTACCGGAAAATTAACTTACAAACGGGAACAGACACATTTATTCTCCTTTGCCTTGTTTATAATGTGGGCCTCTTGTCACAATTGCCATGTTTCCTCCAATATTTCATTGGTAATTCTCTTTAACCCCTTCTCGACGGGAATTTCTTTCTGAAAGCCGACTCCAAGAATTCCAGCCTCGCTTGGCCACAAAGGCCACCTGCCAAACAGCAAATTCTCGGTTTGTGGCCCAGCGTGCTCTGCATGCTTTGAATTACACGGTGAAAAGGCTGATTGTTCTGTGGCATGCGGCTCTACTCAACCTTCCACATTCCCGTTGCCTCTTTTCAAAGTGGGGACTATTGTGAAGCTGGTGATTATGATGCAAGCTCGGTTTTTTCATTTCTGGGCTACACACAAAGACCAACTACCATATATACAAGAGCCAGGGTCTGCCTTCTTTCACCGTGTTCGCTCAAGCGTGGACCAAGAATAATAGCTGAAAAGCAGGCTGAGGATCTCAATTTTTACGGTGTGTCTTAACGAGTACAGGCATGAAGGGGTTAAACCAAGCCAATTTGAATTCAAAAGTGCCAAGAATGTGTAGACTGCAGATATGAGCAACACCACCATAAAGCTGTGCCGAATATCTGAATAACCGAATATTCAATCGATTATCGAATATTATTTTTTTGAATTTGAATATTCGAATGCAAACTTCTTGAAAAGGAAGGGAGAATTTTCTTCTGTTTTAAATGACAAATTGCACTATGGAGGCTTGTTCCAAGTAGATTCAAATGAAAAGTGACAAAACCTTACAACGATTTGAAAAGTACAGTATTCATTAAAACTGTAAAAAGATACATACATTTTCAACAGGAAATAAGTATTATTCCTCTCTTAAATCTTGCTAAATTGTGGCTGGAGATACTCGCAGACCTTAGAAGCTATTATAGTGATGATAATGTACAATTGTGTGTGTTATTGCAACTGATTTTGTATACATGGTTTGTTCCTCAACAATCTGCAGGTTGATACGACCGAATATTCGGATATTTGATCAAATTGAAGGTGAATTATTCGAACTGACTCAGCCCTACACCACCAGAATGTCAGACAGTGTTCAGCAAAACTCCATTTTTTTTACATTTCCAAATGTCCCCCAAAGTTCTTTTTCTGGAATCATTGTCTTGTACACACCACCCAATCAAAGGAAATTTACAACCTGAATTCCTTTTTCTTCACAGACTGAGGAAATAATGAAACCTGCCAAAGAAATTCAGACCACAGGCTTGGTGAAGTAAGGTCGGCCCAATACAGGATTGCCACGGAAATCCTAAAAACCAAGATCTACATGTAATACTTTTCTAAGGCTAAGTCAATTTGAATAATTCACTATTTGAATATTTGACCTTCAATTTGATTGAATATCTGAATATTCGGTAGCACCGACCGGCAGACTGTTCATGAACAAACCATATACAAAATCAGTTGCAATAACACACACAATTGTACATTATGATCAATATAATAGCTTCTCACATCTAGGGGTATCTCCAGCCACGATACCTCTTGCCCTATTGAAAATTTCTGTTCCTTTAAATTGTTTAATGAATAACTTACTTTTTAATGGTTGTAAGATTTTTGACGCTTTTCATTTGAATCTGCTCAAAAAAGCTTCCATAGTGCAATTTTTCTCATTTAGGCCAAAGAAAATTTTCTCTCCTTCATGAATTTTACATTTGAATATTCAAATTTGAGAAACATTATTCAAATATTTGACAATGGATCAAATATTCGGCACAGCCCTACACTTTTCCAGGATTTTCAAGGACTTTCCAGGACCAAAACATGACAAGCAAAGTGACATTTACTGCCCTTTTGTAGCGAAATAATGTTTGGTATTAGGGACTGGACAACTGCCATAGCTTCTACTAAAACACCCCACCCACAAATTCTGTATTTTGATTGGCCGAAAGTGCGTCATGTGACGCTTGCTAGTTTAACTATTTTTGCACTGCCACTCCAAAAAGACAATACACATGCAGCCTCACTCTGAAAAAGAACTGTACCCGTAGCAACCGAAGAACTAATGCCATAGCAACGAAACAGCATGAAGAGTAACCAGGGGTGTATTTTGGCTCATCAGAGTTGACTTGACTTGTAACTATCAGTTTTTGACTTTTGACTTGGCTGGGACTTGTCAAATTGACTTGCTACCACCTTTGCAGCTCATAGCGGAAACCTTATGGTGAGGTGTCATAAAACAAACATTGACTGATTCATCTCTTGGTATTTCACCTCAGGAAAATGGAAGGGTCCTTGGATCACTTTGGGGGCAAGTTTTACAATGCCACTCGAAGCAGTCAATACTTGTATGCTTCAGACTGACAAGGATAGCCTCTTAGTTTATCATCACTTGGTTACCACAACAAAGTGGCCCATCAAAAATAAACCCTCGCATGATTTGGATTTCTATAGCTTTATTGTGACTTCTAATCCTCTGACAACATGATTCTAGGACACAATGTTCTTTCCAAATTTTCCAAGACTTTCCAGGACCTTTCAGCCAATACTTTTTTGCATTTTCCACAACCCTGGGAACACTGGTGATTTTCTTCATCGGTCTCTGGTTCTCTCTGGATCTCGACTGGCTTTTTTTTTTTTACCTACCTAGGACGTCTCTTGCATTCTCTTCCCTCCGTGCCCAGCCCGCACTGTCCACAGCTGTCATCCCCCCAACTCAGAACGGTGCCATTCTCGGCCGTCACGACAGTGAACGCGTCCCCACACGCGACACGCCTGATCACGTATGTCTCCAGTGCCGTAACTTGCCCTGCCGGAAATTGATAACGCCCCACAATTATCATTGTCAGAATTAATCAGCGCTTTCTTGACAAAGGACTCAATACCACAAAATAGATCACAGGGAAGCCATTTTGTTCATGTTCCCTGAATCTACTCGATTCAATGTAATCTGTTGAAAGCGGCAGCGCCAGACAATTCAGATTGGCTCCAGTAAAAAAAGGCCAAAAAGGAATGACGTTGCCGAAAAGAAACAGTTCGGCCAAAATATCTATGAAGAGTTCCATATACAGACATCCCTTGAAACCCTGCGCACAAACCCTATGAGACTTGTCTGAAAAATTCCAAGTATTTTCTAAATGATGTCCGAGTATAAAACTCTTTCCAATACCTGGAGTTCTACCGGGCATATCATGGCCTAACTGGCCTTTGTCGTTGGACCCGCAGGTGTACACCGTTCCATCTCTAAGCAAAAACACGGAGTGCTGCAATCCGCACGCCACCTCACTCACGTGCCTCCGTCGGAAGAAGCGCACTTCCCGCGGCGTGGATATCAGATCGAAAGACTGGTCGTTGGGCCCGTCAGTCTCCGCGTCATCTGTCGGTCCTTTGTCTAGACCCAGTTGTCCGTGGCACGTGGCGCCCCAACAGTACATGCGCATTGTTCATCAATGGAATCGGCGCGATTTGAACTTGAGGGAATTAAATCTTCTCGGCAGTTTGCAGCAACAGGTGTCACATCATGCTCCACACGTAATGGCTCACCAGTAAATCTGTAAAAAAAAAGAAGAAATGGCATAGATTTATCAACCAAAATGTCCATACTGGACAATCAAACTTTTTAAGTGTCACAACAGTAACCCCAAGTTTTTTCTAGACCCTTTCTTCTGTAGGCACTGAATATCCCTATAACTATGGCATTTCGCCTCTAACGACCAGCCATGGGACGTTCGAGGGGTAGGTACTAAACCCCATTTTGTTGCCAAAACCCACCCTTCAAAAAAATTGGGAATAGCTTATAAACACTGCTAGGCACCTGGTTCAAAGCACATTGGTGAGACACTCTTCTGGTCCAATATGAAACTTTTTCACTTTTTCATTTAACAAAAATCGCTCATTAAATATTTAACTAGGGGGCCCGGGGTACCAACCACATGACCACCAAGCTCCCATATTTGAAGCCAAGACGGGTCTTCTGCACTATTCCACATCCTGGGCACAACTGTCGCCTCTGGAAAAAACCTACATGATGTAGGCCAGGCTGAAGAATAATGTCTTTTTAAACGTCAAGTTTGACATGCCCTTCTGAGACATACTAACATGACTGAATCATGTTGATTTCCAGTTTCAACTTTCAGACACACTTGGGTTTTAAATGTCATTAATCTCATGTTTCCATGGAGGTCAATGTTTCCTACAGTACACCGCTTCTATATTACTAGGACAGGGAAGTGGAGTTCTGTCATTTACAAATGAAGTTCCAAGCTAAAACTCAAACTGAAATTCCCAAGTATTTTTCCCAGGCCTTGCTTCCACAAATTATTGTTGGGTGCAGTTACATGTAGTCGATCTGTGTGATAGCTTGATCTTTGGGCGATCTGTCGATCTTACTGTATGATTTGTGAGTTTTCACATTGCCGTCAGCCAACTGCCTTTGTTCCCCACAATCTACGGTTGTGAAAGATTGTTTTGACAGACGGAAGGAAAGAAAGGCCACCATTTTTATTAAATTACAAATGTGCCAATTCTGAAAATTTACATTAAAAAAAAAGGAAAAATGAATTAGGTTTATTCCCAACATGTCCAATGGACTTTTACTGTTAAAAACATAATGGACTAAATTCATTTTTTCTCCTTCAACCCTAGGTTAAGTCATGTAAGTTAACTGTAGGGAAAAAAATGGAACTTTACCGTAGAGTTTTACTCTTTTTAAAAAATATTTTCTGTCCTCCACTGTCCTCTGATATTGGAAAAATTTTCACACTAGGCTATGTTTGTAACCCAATAATAAAAAATATACTGGCCTCAGGCCAATTCATGGTCAATTTGAAGCAGACATTTCACACCGGATTGACCACGGGACAGTTCAACACGATCGCTCAATCTACCCCAAAATAGTGTGGGTACGTTGTCTGCTGTGGGAGCCGAAGCGCGGCACACAACGAACCCCACAGTTCCGGGGGGGGGGGTAGAGGCGATGGTGCTGATCGAGTGTTAGCGCCAAACATCAGCCGCCGGTCATGCAGCGCGACTGCGATAGTACGACGAGTGCTAAGTAAAAACCATTGCCAGAAATAAACTGTGATTACCGCATGCACAAAAATTAACAAACAACCGTGCTAATACTAGTAATAGTCAGTGTAGAAGCCACAAGTTCACCACACTTTCTTGTCCTCAAGTGACAGTGGGCATCAGGACTACGCGTATACGACGCTCAGTCCCAGTAATCTGGGCTCCATATTTGGTGCTGCAAGCACGCATTTGCAGCAACAAAACAATTACACGTACAGTCAAAAGTGCACCTACGCGTACAAAGTACGAAGCGTCACTCACTGCTGCACCGCCATAATAAATGCTGCCCTCATTCGGCTCGGCGTCAAAGATGGGCGGATCTCGAGCCGGTTGTATAGCCTACAACTTTCTTAATTTCGGGGGGGGGGGCTTTGACTTCCGACATTGATACAAATCGAGGAGAATAAACGGGTCAGATATCTTACAAACAATCATCCCTGTATTAAGAGGCTTGTTTCCAAAGGGGTTTAAAACCCTAAACCCAAAACAAATATCCTCACAAATGAAAAAGTGCAATTAAGATTCTTCTTTTTAATCACGTACTGCCCAGGGATGTTTTTTTTTTTCTGACACAGCTTTGGGAGTTAAGGGGGGCAGTTCTTATTAATCCAATGAAAGCCCTCTGTCAGAATTTTTCCAGTCAAAATTAGTCTCACCTGCGATACCAGCAAAAAACTGAACCAAACTAAATGACCACAACTGTGCGGGGCCGGACCCAGAAATTTCCCTCAAATTTCCGTTTTTCCGTAACTTCAGGTCTCGTCTTTAGGCCAACAGCCTTCACATTGAACACTAACACTTCCATAGTTGGGTCACAGGCATGAAGTTCGACTTTTTGTCTTTGTTTTGTTTTTGTTTTTTTTTTGGCAGTGTTTGACGGGACATAGAGCTAACAACCTCGAAGCTGAATGTTGGACACGCCCCCCCCCAACAAGGAGCCTTTAAAAAAAGTAGGCTTCGTCTTAACCACGGCATCATTTTGTGCAGCCTGCAGAATATTTTCAAACATTTACGTTCAGAAATTGATATAAATATATCAGAATGTTGGTTTACATATTGTAATTAAGTGTCGGAAATTGCGATGACATTGAACGAGTAGGTCTATGTTATCAGTAGAATAAATCCAAAAGTCCCTATTCTGAGTCCACAATTCTGGCAAGGTCGAGGCTTTGAAAAAGTGCTACCTTTCGATACACGGTATTGATAAGTTAACTGTGGCGGCTGAAACTGAGCGAGGAGACGTGGTGGCCGAGTGTTTTCCTCAACAAATCGTCAGATCGCGCTTTATCTTCCTAATCTTGTTGCGATCGTACACTTGAGGGAACATGGGAGCGGCAGACAAACCTGAGCATTGATTGCTTATCGTTTTTTGGCTGTTCCAGCCCAACATTGCTCGGTGTCAGGCTGGCCTGTTTTGCTGTTTAGCAAGCCTTGCATGCATTGTTCACTGTGCTCTCCTACCCGGAAGTGCATCTGTTGCTTGCGCACCTTGGTAAGTGGCGCTCGTAAAAATCATCGGCCCGGCCTCGTGTATGAGGACCGAAAAATGTATGATACGATGTGCATGGCCAGAAATCTCTGTGAAATGTTAGGCTGAGAAATTGGTACAGATTGCCGCTTTGTTTGATGTGGTAACTGTCAGACTGCAGATTGCCGCTTTGTTTGATGTGGTAACTGTCAGACTGTCGTTTTGTTCTTTGTGAAGTTTGTTGCAAACTTGAAATTTTGCGTGAATTTCTCTACGGGCATTTAATTGTACATGCGATAAGATTTTACCAAGCATTGTTGGCCTTTGACTATAAGTTGTTGAAAAATTAATCATCTGTCATTTTTGAAGGCCGTAACCCCTGAAAACCCTTTTAATATCATTTCCGTTGCCTTTGTCACTTTACTTTTCCCGTCTGGCCTTTGGGTGTCAAGGTTGTCCAGTTTTTTTTTACGGTGAAAGAAGTCACAGCCTTGGCCTGATCCCAGTTGCACAAAAGAATGATCTGTGAGGAATGATATGGCCAGGTTTATGTACATGTATGTGTATAAAGCCTGTGACTTTCAATGGAATCTTACAAAAATCACCTCATTTATGAAGTGGAAATATTGTTGTTCCACAAGTGGACGTTAGGAAGATAAGAGAGCATAAAATTAACTTAGCGCAGTACAAAACAAGTTGGACTTACTTTTTCACTAATTCTTTGTTTTCAAAAAGATTTACAACTTGAACAGGTACATATTGTAAAATATTATTGAGAAATCAGGTTTGAAAACAAACATTAAACCTCCCGAAGAGTCTTTCAGGCAATTTTACATGTGAAATATACAGATTGTGGGGGTTGTCCTCTAGTCTAAAGGATTTCGAACTTTGTTGCTTGCATTCAATGAGGAGAATGTGCCCCAGTGGTTAGGGTTTCTTATTCGTGATGAGAGTATGAGAGGTTCAAATCCAACTGCTTTCCATGATGCTGTGTCCTTGGGCAAGTCACTTCACTCCAATTTGCCTCTCTACACCCAGGAGTATGTAAATGGGTACTGGCATTAGCCAGGGAGCAACCTGTAGTGGACTGGTATCTAATTCAGGGGGAATAGACAATTTTCTTTGTCATTTGGTGCCTAGGAAACTGGAGATAAACATCACTCTGATCATGGAGATAGGAAAAGACCTCCGTGCTCTCATGAGCCAAAAGGCTCAGATCAGAAGTTTTACAACATTAAGGAGGGAAGGCGCTTTGACCAGTTCAATACAGACTTCTTGAGACTATTTTTCTAATGAATCTGTTCTTTTATCTTGTGGGGAATTTAGAATGTGGACTGCAGTAATATTAGTGAAATGTCTTCAGTTAAATTTCTTTGAAACTTGAACCTGTGCAGGCTTTGATATGAACAAAATAGTAATTTTGTAGTGTGGGAACATTTTTCAATACGTTGGCCAATATAATATGTTGGCCATTCATGATGCGCGAAATCTGTCGACCCAATGTGCTCGGACAAAGGTGACTTTGTTACATATGCAGTATTTTCCATGGGACAAATGAATCACACGTACATGTATTTAAGGACACGGTGTTGTCATCCATTCTTTAGTATCAATTGGCATATTTGTTTTTCCGGCACCAGTGCTGGTATGGAAAGTACATGTAACATTGTGTGATTTTTTATGTTTGCGTGCTCAGTTGCTCTGTACACATGCCTCTTTGAACTTGGCCAAGCAAAGGTGAAGTCTCGTTTATCACACTTACAGTACATGTTTCTACTGTGAATCTCATACCAACCAAGCGTTGTCTTTGAAGTCCAACATATTGTACATGTGCTTTGTAAGAAGTAGATTCATTATGTTTCTTCATTCTATAGTTTACACTCGAGTACAGCTGTATCCAATTTTGTGTGGTGTCTTAAGTAATACAGTATTTGCATGGTAATTAATCCACATGTCCACACTAACTTTACTCATAATAAGAAATGACTTACATGTATCAACGTGTACATGTACCGAATGTACAAGTTTACATTTGACCACACATTATGCGCATTGTAAAAACAAGATCAGGTTGTATTGTTAACCTGTGACATTGTAAATTTACACCTTTGAATAATTCAGTATGTAATGGACTGTATGAGTACAAGGAATATGTATTTTGTTTGCTACTAAGAAAGCAGGATGACTCTGTTACCTCTTTGGTTGCTGTATGATCATTCGCTTTATCGCTTCAAACAAAGAGGTGCACTGACATGCTTATGTAATTAGTGTACAAGTTTCCACTTACACATGCACCACCAAACTTTTTGTTATGGGCCACGTTTTCTCAGAATCAGAAACAAACGCCGACATTGCTAGGAGCATGCTGCTAGAGGAAGTGCTGGAGGACGGATGAATGAGCTGGCAGCTTTCCACAGGATACATCATGTGGTCTTTTAGAATATATGCGTAGTTGTCGGTGCTGAACACCCAGTGAGATAGACTGATTGCACCTGCTAAGTCACGTGGCCTACATGTACAGTATAGTGGCCATGGTGTCCACCAAAAGCAAAGTGTTTCATAAGTATCATTTACCAAAAATAAAGCTGACGGTAGGTAGGCCTACTGTATTCAGACTACTGATGTGCTGAGCACTATATCGTAACTTTGCAGTATTTTTTGTAACCAACACTCAAAATTCATGTTGCTATGGGGTTGATATTCACTATAGGTCATGTGAGTTAGCAGGTGCAATCAGTCTGCTGCTTTTCAAAAGACTGCAAATCAATCGGTAGTATGGAAAATAAGGGACATCTAAGCCAATTTTCTTGGAGCCACTTTGCACAAGGGTGTTGATTTCAGCTTTTTGATTTCAGTTTTTATCCCAAACTGTGAGCTTTTTTCGTACACCTGGTATGTACAAAATTACGGAAACTGTCAATGTTTCGGCCTTTCGCTAGCTGTTTTTAGCGTTTTTTTGTTTGTGGCCACTCACATCCCTGTTTGCAGAAATGGTTTCTCAGCACTTTTGCATACAAAGCAGAGAGCCACTGGGTACCAGTCATTTCTATGCATCACATTGTGAGTTTTTTGAGCAGGTAACCACTCTCTGTTGACGAAATATTTTCTGCAAGTACATAATTCTTTGTTCAGTAGAGCCGTAAAACTGGCCTCAGTTGCTTTGTTAGTTCTTTGAAGTCATGGAGTTGTGAATGCTGCAGAACACAGTCTGACACCAACAGGCTGACATGTACTTTTGTAATGTACGGTTCTGCCAGCACAAAGTGAATGACCTCCGGATCTGTCGAACCGTACTCGTGGGCAGGAAATGATCAATGGACAAATGAGAAACAAACCCTACAATTGGCCTGGCCTAAAAGGGGGTCCATAGCTCTATTGTTGAACGTTGGACTTGCCGGGGGATGGGCAGGAAGTTGTGTGTTGTTGGGTTGAAATAAACCACGTCAACATTGACCTGTGTGGACTGCAGAAGGAAATCTACCCACTCATGACGAGCATGGTCCTCATCTCAGAGATATATTTGTTTTCACTGCTATAATACATGGAGGCATTTAATTACTGTAGTTTTGTGCAATAATATGCAGGATATTGTCATTCTCTGGTAAGCAAATTTCCTGTTCATTGTACTGTACGTGTTTAGGCTGTGCCAAATGTTTGATCAGTTATCGCACATTCGAATATTATTTTCGGAATTTGAATATTCGAATGCAAAATTCAAGAAAAGGAACGGAGCAGTTTCCTTCATTTTATCTGTAAATGAGAATAACTGCACTATGAAGGCTTGTTTCAAGCATTCATATAAAAAGTGACAGAATAATTTACCATACAATGATTTAAGAAGTACATTATTCATTAATAGATTTAAAAGGAATAGATATTTTCAACAGGGAAAAAAGTAGTGTTTGTCTGTTAGATGTTACTAAATTGTGGCTGGAGATGGTCCTAGAGGTGAGAAGCTATTACATGTACAGTGATTATAATGTACAAATGTGTGCGTTATTGCAACTGATTTTGTATATGTGGTTTATTTGTCAACAATGTGTCAGTCGATATGACCGAATATCCAGATATTCGATTGAAATGAAGGTCGGATATTCGAATAGTGAATTATTCAAATCGACCCAGTCCCACATGTGTGGTGACCGTGCATGGTCAGATGGTAGTGAGTTTATTGTGTGTTTGGTCATAGTTAAGTTACGTTAAACCTGTAAATGTACATGTACATGGATGCACTTTACAGTGCGTTTTTTTTTTTCTCTACCGTCCGTTTTAATTGAAAATACACCCATACCGGTAAATGATTTTGTTTGGGGGTACTCTGCACTCCCTGGAAGTGTGGTGGGCGTGACGGATCCCTAATAGTTCTAGAGGTACATGTCCAAGCACCGATACCATGCACTGTACTTGTTGGTGCCATATTTTTAGAAATTGGGGTATTTTAAGCTATCCTAAGGCCTTTTTACATTACAGCCTCTTAAACCGGGGTTAAACTCGACCCGAGGCAAACCCCTGACCGCCCAGGATTGAAAATTCGATATTTCAACCCCACGTTCAACCTGGTGTTGTTTCACACTTGTTTTTATGTGAACCAAGCTTATCGGGGTGAGTTCAACCCAGAAATAAGCCAAAAAAATTTCAACCCCGGTTGGATTTTCTCAACCCTGAGCCTGGAGCGGGGTTACATGTAAGTTTAACCCTGGTTGAAATCAATCTCAGGGTTGATGCAGGGTTGGCGTGGGGTTGAAAATTTTCAAGTGTGAATCGTCAACAGTGTTCGACCCTGCATCAACACCGAGATTTGTCTGGTGTGAAAAGGCCTCTAGTGTCATTGAAATTGCCCTGTTTGAACTTTGAAACATTTCAAAGCCTAGACATGACCTAAATGTTCCGGCATGCTTACAAAATGGAGCCGCGTGCCATGCATATTAAATTTGTTAATTGCGAATATGTGTATGATTCAAAGCCAAAGAATGTTGAGACTTGTCTGACCTACAGGGACATGTCCCGGTGGGTGGCGTCACAACCGTGTGACGTGTTCAATTTTACTCATGGAAACTTTCAGGGTAATACAAGTAAATGTTGTATCTAGGTCAGTGTTGGGATAAGTTGAGAACATGGGCTTTGCTTCACGATATGACCGTTTTGTATCATGAGTCCCAAATCCACTTCATTTATTGAACACTCTGACAAAGGAAGGAGCCTTAGCATTTTGCCAATCTGGTAATTCCAGAAATTAGGGGTCCATTTTTTTCGTGTCCCTGTCACTTCTGGCATATGATTTTGTGAGTTCAAAACACATCTTCTAATTTTCAAGAGTAATGAATCAATGCAAATTACCTGCCATAGTTTAAAATCAATTCCGGTGATATTTTCGTGTCAACTACCTGTAACAAAGGTAAGATTTAACAGGGATGCAAATATGCCACACTTTTAAACCCCTAATTTCTGCAATTACATGTACCCTCATAGAAACTCACAGCGTTAAGGCACAAGTAAATGTCGTGTCTAGCTCAGTGCTGGGATATCTGTGATTTGAAAATTGAAGTGGAGAACATGGGCTTTGCTTCACGAGATGACTGTTGTGTATCATTCCCGAATCCACTTCATTTATTGAACACTGTGACATGAGAAGGAGCCTGACCATTTTGCTGTAATTACAACTGCTGGTATGATGGCACTTTGAACAAAAATCCTTCATTCATGTTCATGTCATTTAGACAAAAAAGGCAAAAAAAATTTATTCATAATTTAGAACAATCCGTCAGAACACAAGGATAGTAATCTATATACATGTATCTTCATCCCATTCACAAATTTTCATGGGCTGGCTTTCCATGCAAGTTATCGTTTTGGTCTTGGCTTCAGTGGCCAACTCAGAATAAAGACTGAGCGTGTATTATTTGTAGAGTTAAACTAGACAGTTTTCCACTTGCCTCCGCAGATGGAAGTTTTGACTTGTCTCTGAGAGCGAGGTTGACACCACCGCATCACCAACATGTTGCAGCAGATCCTCAAGGATATGTACATCGACCCGGACATCCTGGCCGAGCTCTCAGATGAGCAGCGCGAAATCCTCTTTTGCAAGATGCGGGAGGAGCAGGTCCGGCGGTGGAAGATCAACGAGGCGGAGTACGAGAAGAAGATGAAGAAGGCCAAGCAGAAGAAGAAGAAGAAAGGTAAGGGGGAAGCAGCGCCGGCCAGTTTATGGTCGCGCTTTCCTGGGGCCAAATTCAGACAAATAGGTAGTGGTCTTTTGAGCTTTTTACAATTATCTGGAGCCAATTTTGTTGATCAGTTTGTCCTTATGCTAAAGTCATTAAAGTACATAAAGTACATTATTATCATTTGAAAGAAAATACACAGGGTTTTTATATTTTGAACACTGAGGAAAGTTTGTGCCTACGTATAGTACATGCAGAATCTCCAAGAAATTTGGCCTGGGAATGTGCAGTATACAGGAATACCAGGAGGTCATTTTTGGAATTCTGGTGCATTACAGTCAAGCACAGGCATCAATTTGTCACTTTTGAAATAAGTCATGACTTCTGCTCTCAAGAGATTGAATTACATGTAACTGCATTTTGGACCTGTGAAAATAACATCAAAACTGTGGTTTCCGTTCAGCTTTTGACACTAAGGGACCTCTTAATTACATGTTTAGTGTTAGCTGCAGAATGTGTGCTGAATACTTTTTTAATAAGACAAAATGATATTGCAAAGTTTGAACTGATGTAAAAATTACGGCACTGTCAGATGGTGTATTTTTTGTTTGTCCGTGCTGTAGGGGGTAAAACAGTCAATTGGCTGCTTGGCGCCGACAGCAAAGAGTGGGTCTGGGTGATGGGGGACCACCCCAGCGACATGAAGATTGAGGACATCCTGGAGAAGGAACGGCTGGAGAGGGCCAATCAGATCGCACGGGAGGAGGTGGAGGCTGCGAGGTGAGCATGGGGTCAGAAAGGAAGCGGAGCAACTTAGTTCATGTGGGAGTTAAGCCCCTGAAGAGTAAAAGCGTGAAGCAGTAGCACTTGCGCTAATCTTTCCAGATCCTTCAAAATCTATTTGAAGGTACATTGGATTTAAAGGATTTTGTAGGATTGAGGAAGGTTGAGTCTAATCTCTGTAAGTTTACGTAGGATTTGATAAACTGCGTTATACTGTTAATTTTTCATGTGTTACCTGATAAAGCGTTTACTTACCCACCATCACTGTTCTCTGTCATCATTAGGATATTCCATGGCAAAAGTATAAACCTGAATTTTTTTGCATGACCAGACAAAAAGAAGAAGAAGAACTAAGACGAAAGGAAGAAGAAGAACGTATCCTGAGGGAAGAAGAGGAGCGACTCGCCAGGGAGAAAGAAGAGATTGAAAGGAAGGCCCGGGAAGAGGAGGAACGCCTCCGGAAGGAAGAGGCAGCGGCGAGGGAGCTAAAAGAGCGGCTGGCCAGAGAGCAGGCCGAGGAGGAGAAGCGGCGGCGGGAGGCCGAGGAGGCAGAGCAGCGGCTGCAGGAGATGAAGGCGAAGTGGCAGAAAGCAGCAGCAGAGGAGCGAGAGCGGCTGGCCCGGGAGCAAGAGGCACGGCGACAGGAGGAGGAAAAGAGACAAGCGGAGGAGGCCAAGCGGCAGGCAGAGCTAGAGAGGAAGAGGGCAGAGCAGGAGAAGCTGAGGGCGTCCGTGGAGGAGGCCAAACGGAAAAGGCAGCAATTGGAGCGAGAGAAAGAGGAGAAAGACCGACAGGCGAGAGAGCTTCGAGAGAAGGCCGAGAAACTCAGACTACAGGCAGTAAGTAGAACATTGCTGTTCTTTCTCTTCACTAACGAAGCCCAAGATCTTCATACAAACTTGTATGTGTGTATTGAAATATCACATCCATGACATCACATTGCACATAATGAATGTGCCTATTATAATTTGTATTTACCATAAAACCAACAGGAAAATTGGAATTTGAGGTGCTAAATTTGACCTACGAAAGCTCAGAAATGACTCTCGTAATTTCTGAAATCCACAATAGATCTTATGTAACCAGTACCCAGATAACTCAAATCCTAGCTCTCAGTGATCAATTTTGAGTCTTAATATGGATTAGTGTCAAGTTTTAATAGGAAATACATGTACATGTAAGTTTTCAATTCTGAGCTTGTTTGGTTCTCACTGTCAAGATCTAAATCTCGGAGACGTGCCTCTTTCCACGTTCAGTTTTACATTGAATTCTAAAAGTGGAGTTCTGTTACTTGGAACTGAGTTCGTTTACTCATTCAGTTCAAGTTCTGTTGCTCATTGTGTCTGAGTCAAACTATGTGAAGTTTGCGGTGACACCATGTAAACAAATTCTCTCTTTGAGTGTGTGTGGTTCTGAAAAGAACCGGGGTTCACTCGACGTTTCGAACAGTGTGCTCTGTTCGTCTTCAGGAGAAAGAGTCCTCAAGTCTTATGTGTCTGAGTCAGTTGTGCCTATTTTTGTTCACTTACTCCCTCTGCAGGAGAAGGAAAGAAGGGAACATGAAGAGAGGGAGAAACAGTCCAAGAAGGTGTTGGAGCACAGGGTAGAAGAGCTGTATGTGAACATGAAGAAGACTGATGAGGACAAGAATAAGCTGGCAGAGAAGGACCGGGCCAACATCGAAGACGTCTGGAAAGTTCAGTGTAAGTCAGTCCTGGGTCGGATTTCAAGCTTTATTTCTATTGATGTAATATAGGTGTCCATGTGATGTGGCTTCAGCCGCTTCTCAGTGGCTTCCATAAATAAACATGTTACCACCAGCCACGGCCATAACATTGTGGATGCCTTGTAGAGGGGCTGTAAGGAGCCATTGTTGGAACTGTAGATAGCAATATTGGGTGATGAAGGAGGCACCAAGTGAGGATGGCTTCACCCATGTGTACCTGTGTAGTACAGAGCCTGCCCAGCCAGGTTTCCACAAAATGTGTACAAATGATTTGCACCTTGATATCTTTCCAGTTGAATGAACATTTCATGCAGTGTCCTGTGTTGTTACCATTCAGGACATTTTACATCTGGGTTCCTAACTTACACAAAAACATATTTGCAAGAAGACTCTACCCACAGAAGGACTTGACATGTTTGGCTACACAAACATTTTGCTCAGAGCCCTTCCTTAAGGCAAGAAACCTTCTTTCATAATTACCAACAAAATTCCAAGAAGCCTATGAAGTTTGGTGCTGCATGGGAAAAGTTCAGTACCTTTTGCAAGTCAATTTCAATAAAATCTGGTACATTGAGTTATCTGATTGCACATAAACATAACAATTTGAATTCCCCAGACTAAAGACACTGTTGCTGTACCTCTTGATTCGGGGCAAGCTTTTGCATAGTGACCACCATCTCTGGAATGGACTGCTTCCTATGAGCCTGTCTTATCCATAGAGAACAGTGTATTGTTGCAAGGTGTCTCTTATGTAACTGTAACTGAATCATGATGTATAGCAAAGTGTCTTAAATACAGAGAATTCAAATTGTTATGTGAATTTAAAGAATTCAGTTTACCATATTTTATTCAAAGTTAGCTCACAGAAGGCTGCTGGCAGAACAAGCAGTGCAGTTCTTGTGCTGTAGTTTTGCCCACACAGTCAAGTTTGGAACAGAACCATCAAATCATGGAAACTTCTCAGTAATTTTGATCACAGTAATGAAAGTTGGACATGCCTTTGACACTGCCTCTGATAACCAAATATTGCTATGCCTTGCAAGCACCCGTCAACAATTGTTCCAAAGACCAATGTACATTATGCATTAGTTCCTGTCATCACTTCCTTGTGCTATTTTCCAAGCCAGTGGAGATTCTGTTTATCCTCTTAAAAATACCTGTTTGTGGAGACCCCAGGGCTTTCGCGTCTTTGTGCCAAGGTACACATGTCAAGTCCCATTCAGACGTTTCCTGGTTCAAACAAAGACCATTCACTGACCTTTTTCATTTGACCCGTTTGGCTATGTTTGTCCACTTCTAGGGTTTGTTGTGGGTGCAAATATGTAATAAAGAATTTGCAACCAAAATGATTGTATCGGACTGCTTTTGTTGGAATCAAAAATGAAACAAAACCTTTGGAGAAAGAATTGAAACAAATACATGCTGTTTTCATGTGAATGTTTTTGCACAAGATGTCTGTGGTGAAGGGATGCTGCGTGTGAAGTGTAATTATAGTAGTTTCGTCTGAATTCACCTCTGTCATTTGATTCAGTTTTTCCCTTTTACATTTCCTGATGTTAAATGTGGGCATGGACATACATGTACATGTATCTTACACTCAAGTTTTTGTAGATGTAGGACCGAGGTGCCACAAAATCACTTGTCTGTGTAATCTCAAGTAAGACCATCAGATACAACATTAAGATTTGTCAAGTTTGATTGTTTAGCTGTCTCCCAAAGCAAAGAGGAGGAATACGCAACTTGTTGCCTAAGCCTAGCCTTCGCTGACTCTTCAAAATCCATCAAGTTTGGAGGGTAGTGTAGGATTAGGGAGTCACAGCCCAGTATTGCTATACATGTACACAGGATTTGATGACCTTTCAAAGTTGAAGCACAGGGAACCTGGCATTGGTTTCTTGCAAGGTGAAGGATTTTGCAGGATTAAGGATTATTGCTATCAAAATATGCACAGGGGGTTAGAGCAAATGGGTCCCCATGATCTTTCAATACCTGGATAGGTCCACAAAGGTTTCAAATTGGTTTTGCATGTTGGCCCAGTTGAATAGAACGGTATATGTATGTGAGAAGTGATCTAATTGAAATAAAAAGTCCTTCAGAGGCACACTAGCAAAATACATGCAGTTGTAGTGGGGTAAGGATTTTAAAAACACATCTGTCACTGAATTTTTTGTGAAAAGGTCAAATTTTAAAAAGCTGGATGATTCTGACAAAAATTGGATAAATATTTTTACTGCCGCGCCAGAATCTCTGGAGAAATTGAGGTGGCTACCAATCCAAACCCCTCATGTTGTAGTTCTCTGACAAATGCTGATTGGGTTGGGAGGGAACAAAGCTGAAGAAAAACACGGACATTGGACCATAAATGCACAAGAGTAAGATCATGAAATAAAATGATAACTTCATACCATCAATGTTTATTGAAAAATTTAATTTTTATGGCCAAAATATTCAAGTACTTTTCAAGTGCATTTCTCCTTTAAACTTAATTTCGCCAGAAAAAGGAGTGTCTGAAGTCATCGTTTTATTTTGTGATCTTACCTTTGTGCCTTGACCGTCCAACGCACGTGTTCTTTTTCAGCTTTGTTCCTGCCTAACCAGTTCGATATTTGGCAGAGAGCTTGGTACTCAAAATGTACTTCACTGCTCCCCCCCCCATTAACGCGTCCATTTTGCTGGATGTAATTTGAAACTGTTCTGTTTTCAGGCCGCACCGCGCGCAGATAATTTTTCTACCCTTGGCTTCCTGTTGGCTTTTTGCCTGTGATACATGTGTGTTCATCCAGGAAGAGGAGAGCAAACCTGTTGATATACATGTATTCTTGGTTATGCATTACTATTTAGTGCTCAGTTATTTATGTGTGAAACTGGGACGGTCATAACCGTCATGTCACGCTGTGTGTGAATGCACTTTAGATTTATGTTTCTCATAGATGTGCTTTTTTAGTAAATGTCAAAAAAGCACTGCACTGGACATGTACATGTACATGCCTGTTTATATAATACATGTACATTCATGACATAAAATTTAATTTTGTTGGACAGATATTTCTAAGGTTCTTCTGATTTGTATGTTTTCCAACTACGCTACTCAAAACAACTTACCTTGTAATTTTTTCCAGACAATGAGTGGGGTCTAGTTCTTTCATTTGTTTGTTTATCTAGATGGTGTTCTCATTGGAATGAAAACTTTAAACCAATCAGAACAGTTGTATTGAGGTATTTTCATCAGTAAAATATCTGATATTAAAAAAGTATACACAAAATAAAATGTGGTCCTTAAGTTTTTTTGGTAGTATATTTATAAGATTGAATCCTCAGTTTACAAAGTATTATTTTCAGATATCTTTTTTGAGGGGGGGAGGGAATGGGTTGCCCTGCTTTTGACATGTGTAATAGATGTGCACTCCTACTTGTTATGTAGTTGCGGGGATGTGTGCTCGCCATTACACCGGGGACAGACAAATGTCTCCATAACGCACTCCTGATTTGCCTAACAGTAGAAAACTTCCCCATAGTGCTTTTAAGGCCTACCCACATATCCCTGGCCCTGTAACATGTACCGGTAACCAACATCACAGGTCAAATTTGATATAGCATAGTGAAAGAAATATACATGTACACTTGGCAACCTCCATCTTGTTTTGGAGTTCAGTCCAAGGGTATACGCTGTGCTCACTGTCTTGATGGAGTTAAACTTTTTTCTTTTAGGAATTGCACAGGTTGGTAGACATCACTGGCAAAAAAAAAGCAAATGCTTGCCGGATGAGTTAAATGTTTGAACTGCATATTGATGGTGTGATTGCTAGCTATTCAAATTGCAGTAAATTCTAGTATGAGCTGTTTCCAATGACATAATATAACAGGAGTCGGAAAAAAATGGAAGTATATTTTAACATGATCCTAAAATGAGTCGCTCTCACTTTGTGTTGACGTCAAGACCTCACAAGACCATCACAAGAACTTTAGTCTGTTTACAAGTCATGTGCTATTTATATGCTGACTTGTAAGCATGCGTTGTTTTGGAATGACCTTGACTTTTTAAATTTAGATTTAGCTCACTAAATGGGTTTCCTGTTTTTTTTCTTGAATGTTTGCTTTAGTGCGAAGGTCAAAGCGTGCCGACAGCGAGCGAAGCCAGAGAGCTCGCTGGGCCCGTGAGGAGATCCGGCGCTCCCGACTTAGCGGGAACTTTGAGAACCTCACCTTGGACGAGATCTATAAGCACGGCCTGGCCCCAGAGGAGAAGCCCATCATAAGGTAAGGGGGGGTTCAATTTTTTTAGATCACCTTTTCTGGCATAAAATCCAAAATGCTGTTGAAAGATTGTGACGTTTCCTCCTTTGGTTGCCTCTCAGGCCAGCCAGTGGAATGCCCCGGCCCTCTCAGCCCGTTAACAGAGAGGATGTCATCTCCTGGTACCGCGACAACCAGCGCCGAAAGCAGGCCGGAATCAGCGTGGACATCAACGGCAGCAGGCCTGCCAAATGGTTCCATGGTAGGTCAGACCTCTTCTCACCCCTTCCCTCCCCCCCCCAAAAAAAAGAACTGAGAGTGTCTGATTCATTCGTAGCTTGCTGAGGGTGCCCGCCAGTCTGAAAAAGCAGAGCTTTACACTTCAAACATTGGAACCAGAATGGCTGTTCATTATGTGTGCAATGCATCATGCAGCTATTGTGCGCCTAGTGTCCGTGTGGACTGATGCATAATCCACCAGGAGCGGCAGCCGCAAGCCGACTAGTGGCTTCCATAGGCGTATGTGTTATATTTAGCCACAGCCAGTTGATTTGGGCAGTGCTAACATAATTGTAATGGCATGCAGCAGTAATGGTAATGCGTTGCCTTAAAGTCATCGGAGAATGAATGGTTTGATTTAAACAACTGGCTTGTTACATCTTGAGGAATGCACGAGCTCGAGTTGAACTTTTGGAAAGGATTAACTTCTCAATCCATGTATCATTTCTTTCATCTGCAGAAAGTTATTTGTGGGAATTCTTTGTGTTTGAGCACTCCCCATGAAGACCAGAAATCCCACTCACAGTAACCCTGTAAGATTGCACAAAGACTATAACTGTTGGAGTTTTTAAATATTCTTACTTCCGGGGGAAGAAGCCCTGTCAATTATTAGCTGTTCTCCCTTGGGTCCCTAGGGGAAGAGACAATGTAGAAATGTTCAATTCTATAGAAGTTAAAGGAAGCTCATGGAATCAGGTAGAGACTGAAAACCCAATCCACATACCGGCTGGGTTGGGATTTGAACCTGGACCCACAGAGATGGGAGGTGAGAAACATACATGTAACTGCTCCGCCAGCCTGACTCTCTGAACTGTGGTTGCTCTTGTCGGCAGGCATCATCCCACGCGAGCGTGCCAACCAGCTCCTGGAGGAGAAGAAGCCCGGCACCTTCCTGGTCCGCGTCAGTGAGAAGGTCTGGGGCTACGTCCTGTCCTACCGCTGCCAGGAGCGGGTCAAGCACTTCCTGATTGACGCCTCCGGGGAGACCTACCAGTTCTTTGGAGCGGACCCCTCCCAGCAGCACTCCGTCCACAACAGGCTGGGTGACCTCATCACCTATCATAAGGTGAGAAAAAACTAATCTAGTCCTAGGTTCAACGTCTCTGTTGGTGATGCTGCGTTCTTGCTAAAGAGAGCTTGTGCATTCTAATCTTTAATCTTTTTGGGGGGGATCATTGTGCCCCATTTAGTTACATGCACACCACTGTTGCAACACTTTAGGCAGTAATTTTGCAGTAATAATCAGCCATATTTTAATATCTAATGTCTTTTACACACAATTGTGCATCTGATTGCTTTCGTACTCAGCACCAGTGTCAAGAACACAGAACAACAATCACGACACACAGTGCTATAAAATTGGACCTGTTTTGATTGTTGTAGATAAATTGAAATTTGACACTAACTTTGCATCTTGGTTTGTCTGCCCTGTGTTTCTGCTACGTCAAAAGTTGTCCAGCATTTCTAGTCTGGTGTGTCAATATCCAAACACAGGTCATACCGATCTCAGAACTTGGCAAGGAGATACTGAAGGAACCATGCGGACAGGAGGGTATGGTACCAGACTTCTTTGATCTCATTGAAGACATTGAACCAAGCAACGTCAAAGGAGAGTCAACGTCATTATAGGATTGAGTACCTCAAAAGCCTTCCTCTTAAAAGGATGTCAGTTTCTTTTCTTTTTTTTCATTTGATACATATGTGCTATGTAACTGACTTTTCGGTCCTGTGATGACGGCGTTAGAGTCCACCGGTATATTCAGCGATGGGTTTTGCCCTTACTCGTATATATATTCATGTTGTCTGGGGCCGCAAAATTTAGGTCTGGACCCGGCCTTGGCAAAGAAATTCAGAAGCCACTCGGCTTGGACTGGAACCCATGACCACCTTCTTTACACTAGTGTAGAGTCTTCCACATTTGGGTTTGCACCTAGACCAGGGAATCCTTTTGCCCTGAGTGTTCCTTAGCAAGATATGCTGCTTCAGTTACATACACCTTCCAGAAGCAAAGTGCCTAGGGGGGTCTATAACGATTAAGGGCAAAAGACATTTACAGCAAATCAACAAGTTCGCTCCATTGTGAACATGTTTTGCGTTTTTGTTCAGCGATATTACATCGCTAATCTGAAGCGTTTTGAACAATTTGATCCAAAGCTTCTCTTTTATATCAGCAAATTTCTTCCTATTAAGCCTTTTCCTTTCTTTTCACTTCAGTAGCTTATTTTTTGACATCTTAAGTTTTGTACAAAACATTGCATACAAGTATTTATATTTTATAAGAGACATATCCTAAGATGCACATGTACACTTGCCTTTGCTGAGGGCAGCATAAAACAGCGTGCTGAACTTCATCAGGTTGAGCCTTAAGAAACCTTTCGTTAAAGTTGTCAGTTTTTAGTAGCAACTCAGAATACGCATGATGTGCAGCGTACCTCCTTGCACAATGGACGATTTGTCTGTGTATATCTAATCAGCACAAAATGGCTAAATCTTTGTATATAAAAAGTGAAGAGAAAGTTAGATAACCTTTAAATAACAGTATATATGCAGAACACACTGAACAAATGAGAATGTAACTTGAGACACGACTATGCACTTGTCACAGTATACTGGTGTTTTCATATATGTACATTGAACAATTAGGTTTGCTACAGTACTATGGAATCACGTACTAAGGTCAATTTAATCAATAGCAGGTGAGGAACTTGTGAGTTGGAATCTGATTAGCTAGATTTAGAAACAGATTTCTCTAGAAGCACTTCTTTTGTTCCCTTATCACTTTAGATTTCTTCAAAGAAGAAAGTGTGTATGTGTTTCGAAGGAATTTTCATGTTTAATGTGAAATCACAGTGTCAAAAAAGTGTGGCGATTAATTGTGGATTTCGAACTGAAAAAAAGGGTTTTGGTTTGCAAAATGAAATTGATTGAAGTATCAACATCAGACTCATGAGAAAGTGAGCCAATGCTTCAGTTTGATTTGTTGAACCAAACGTTAATAGAAGTTACTCCCACAAAATTCCCTTTGCCAGGTTTTTTGTTTTTGGTTTTTTGTTCTTTTTTTGTCCAACAATCAGTGGATAAAGCTGAATAGCCCACCGAGTTTATAAACAAAATATTTATATAAATGTCATTTCAAGAATCACAAAATCTTATAAATTAATATTGTTTGTTTGTCCTGTTGGTTTACAGATAGAATTATTGAACATACATTTACAAATAAAAAGAATGAAATGATTTGACTTGTCTTGAGTATGGTCAGAGAAAAAAACATTTTTATGAGAAATTTCAGATTCCAATTTGTCTGTGAAAACAAAAATGCCAGTATGAGATGGTGGATTAGAGCTGTTTATCATGCTCCAAAGGACATTGTCAGTATTTGTACACATTCAGTATGTAGAACCAGGTAAATGCTGTCTGAGATAATCTGTGATTGTCTGTGATGCGTTTATTTCATTCGCTCGCTTCTTTGCCAATGGAAGGAATTTGTGTGAAGTCATATTGATTGCCACTAAACACTGCTTTAACTTCAGGTCGCAAGATCCAGTTTTATGCAGAACCCCTTAACATTTTTGGATCATTTATGATAGCCTGTGCCAGCAAACAGCCGTAATTAATTCGCCGTGTGAAATGAAATTTGAAGTGAAAGTTAAATTAAGATTCATTGCAAAAGTACTTGTTGCATGTCATTTAGGAGGGACTGTGTGTAATCTTAGCTATTGCAAAGGGTAGTTTTCCTCAGCCAATGTTTCTCTGTGAAACCTGGTGTTTTATGAAAGAACAAAGAAGACCCTATTTATGCAATTTGAACAGGAATTTTCAGCCATTGTCATGGCCATCATAAACAGAGGTGCCTTTTGTGGTAAAAATTGTTTTGCCAGTTTGTTATATTAGAGATGCAGTACTATATATTACTAAAATGAAACCATTGAATAAATAGTATTTGGTATGATAACAATATTTGTGAATAATGTAATTTTTTATCTATTGATCGAGGGTTGAGGTCCAGTTCAAAGGAATCTCCACAACAAATAAAAGTAAGTTCCAGGTTTTTTGTTCATACTTTTTAGATTAGAAGTGTTCAATATTAGAAAGTTTCTTGAGTTCAAATATCTCCTCTTTGATTTTAGTGATACGAGAGGTCCTTCAGACTTTGCCAAGTACCTTGTTGTAAACACAGGAACATTGAATTATCCGGAGTGAAAACAACAAAGAACAAAGGATTGGGAACTAAACATTTCCTTCTTGTAAGCAGAATTTTGTATCAACAGGGCTATCATTACCGCGGGTTTAACTGTACTTACTTTGGGTTGCTCTCAAGATAAGTTGAACGGTGGAGCCTTCCAATATTTTGTAAATTTATTAACCAGGCTGCAGGTAGAAAATAAAACTTGGGATGCTTTTCGGGGAGAGAAAAAAAATTATGGAGAGGGCAATCAATTTTGGCCGTAAGAGTGACATCTTCCCTTATTACTTGGACTGCTTGATTTGGTTTAAGTTGGGGTTGCGTGTCTGTTGATTCTCACTTTTTCAGGAAGGATTTCCCCCCATCAACAAATAACACAATTTCTGACAAGGACAGATCCAGCTCCTAATTGTTTCTTGGGGGGGTGTTGGGGAGCCACAAAATTTGGAAATTTTTTTAGTACCTTTAATATCCCGAGAGGCAAGGCAACATTTTGGGCTTTTTGCACGTTTGGGGCAGAACAGGAAGAAAAAATTTGCCTTCCATTACTAAAACAAAGGAAGGCTCCTTTCCTCTCTCTCCCACTGATGATCCACCCTTGGTAGACAAGATTTCCTGAAGTTCTGCAGTCTAAGCCGTACATCCAGACACTTCACATCAATGCACTTCTTGAAACTGACCACACTGAGTAAAACCACTTGAAACAAAACTGAAATAAAGTGAATGAGTCCATTATATAATTTATTTTCATTCTGCCAAAAAAAGTACATAAACTGAATACTTATTAAGAACAACAGATTGCAGTAGTTAATCTACATAAAGGGGGCCAGTGTTGTACACTCTTTCAAGCAAGACAATTTTTTTGCGTGCAAACTGAAAACAAGGGAGAGATGCACACCAAGTGTGAACAGTTTGCCTCATATTGGAGTGACTTTTGTGTTTGGATAACACAACTGATTTTGAAACAACAGATTTGTCAAATTAATTTTGATGCAATTCTGCCTTGCCTTTGAGCAAACTTAATCAGCATCGGGTCTCTCAAAGGACATCACTTCCTACAGACTGTCACATGCATCGGTGTTTGGACGTCAAATTTTCAAGCATGCATGTACAGAACAACAGCACACTGCACGCCCATACACCTGATGGTGTTGGATAAAAGATGGTACTGTATGAGAAAAATCTACTGTACGTGACTTCTGGTGCGAGGGTGGGAAATAAATAGGACTTTGGACCAACCGTGGCTTGTGAGCAACCCCCTTGGTCATGTCCCCTGAAAACTTATGTGTAATTACATTACATGAACCAATGTGTTCGTGCAGCAGTCCACTTTCCTATAAACCATTCACAGACTAGACACTATAAAACAAACAAGTAGTCATGCTTAATCATGAACAAAGATACAGCAAGGTCGGCAAAACCCTTGGAATGATTTGAGAAATTGTTCAATCGTTTCTTTTTTCAGAACCACTATCCCTTTTTGACATAGAATACAACTACTAACCGCCCGTCTCCCTTAGGAAAAGCGGCAAAAAAGGAAAAAGACTACACCAGAAATGAAACAGAAGACCAAGTGGAATAACAAGCTCGGCATTTCAGGATACAGTTTTTAAAAATGAGATAAAAAAAATTGCAGTTGCGTGCTAACAATTGCATGGTGTTTTTCTCGGAAAGATTTCAGTTTCACTGTTATCCACTTTTGTTCTTCAAGGTAGTTTCAGTAGTACGCATTTTTGAGAAACTAATATATTGTATTTTAAGTTCTGTTTTGTAGCTCCAGCATGCAGGATATAATTTGCTTGGATTCGAATTTGTGAATGTGATAGTTCCAAAAGGTAACCACTTCCTGCCAGGTGGAATTTGCATATGCGGGATGAGTTTCCGGGTGCTTTTCAAGATTCTTAAAAAATGCACAACTTCATTTACTGGAGGCTTACACCCACACGAATGACTATCTGGTGGCTACTCTAATCTGACAGGCAACCTCTATTGACGCCCGGGTATTACAGCATGCCGCCCAGTAAAAAGTGCCCAAAATTGTGCGAGGTTATGTTTACAATTTCCTGTTTTCCTGAAATTGGCCCGGTGTGTAGCTGAATGGCAGTGGTGTCTTTTCAAATGCGGCCAGATTAGCTTGCAGTGGTACTGTATCGCTCATTGCTGGTTAACTGGAGTACTTTTGTCCCCGCCGATAATCCACGGGCGCCAGTGCTGCAAACAATGGTATGCTGTTTCAAAACAATGACGGATTACCTCCACTAATGCCAGCACTCCCGTGCTGAAAAATGTTGGCAATTCCCAGCAGCTCGGTCTTTTGTTCCAAGTATGATCTTTTGTTACAAGGCCAAGCTCCACTGTCAGATTTCAGGCACCCTGGCTATGCATTTAAACCCAAGGTGTCCGGTATCGGGAACCCCGGCACCGAGTGGTTAAGAGAAACAATTTCTATTTGTTCAAAAGCTTCTCAAAACATATTAAAGAATGAATCATTCTTTGGGTGAGATTAAAGTTCGGGAGCTGATAAACTCAGCCACAAAGCAACCCTGGAGCTCTCTGAGACACTGACAATAACTGGCAATACGATAAAGTTGCAACACCAAAACTAAAAAATAAATAGCGCATTACATGTGCCTGAAACTGCAGTCAAAATTTACAAGCCACACACACAAAAAAAACGGAACATAAAGCAATGCTGGGGGTTAGATATGCCCATTAAAAGAACAGTAAACTCAGTTGAATACAAAAAAAAAGTGCCTATATATGCAACTTCTGTTTTTTACAATGTCTATGTACAACAAACAACCTGATAAAACCATGTGGCTTCTTTCATATCGTAGTCATATTTCACAGCACCGGCAAACTTCAAAGTTCATTAGTGGAATTAAGCCATGTGAAACAGATTTAGTATGAGCTTATATTTGCAGTTGGGTTATAGTGTAGTATGGCGCCCTTTTGTGTCCAGACACAAAGTGGGTGGCTACATGTCCTTAGTACTATGAAATATAACTCTAGATTAGAAGACTATACACTATACAGTCTGGACTTGTCATTACATTTTACAGCTGTGCGATGCCTGTGTGAAAATTATCTCCATTTCGTCAGTGTTAAATGTGTACTGACCAAAAAAAAAAATCATCTCCCACACAAACTCTCAGCAAGAGACGGACTACTTCGCGAGTTGTTCAACCTCTGCTGTTTCCACACAGAAAAGTTTGACTGAGGCATAGACAAGTGTTCTCTCTCACTAGGACACCTTAGCTCCCAGATGATAGACGCTCAAGTCTCTCTTTTCATGCTGGAGAGCCGACACTATCACGACTTGGCCAGGATGTTTTCATTATGACAAGAAATAAGGGGAACCTGGCTCAAAAGTCGGGTCTATTCTAGCAGCGGCTTTCCTTGCTCGGAGTGCTCTAAATTGTGATAAACTGGCCTGCTCAGGGCCACAAGTGCCATGATTCCCTGGCTGCATTTGGTCTCACCTCTTGAACACTCCCACTACTAAGAAGCCTTAAAAGGAGGGGGAAGTTAAACACATTAAACCTCAGTAGTTCTTCTCCATCAAGTGCGCTCTCACGCCCTTGGAAAGTCCGTCGACAATTGCAGCATTAGCACTCTGAAGTATGGCGTCCAGTTTCCGCTTAACGCCAGAACCAAATTCCTGAAACTACAGTGCAGAGTTTTAATGAGGTCCACGAGAACAAGACGCCTGTGAGGATTGGATCCTGTGCTATACGGCCGGCAGGTTGTGCTCCCGGAAGTCATCAGAGGAGGAGGTTTGGTTGAGGTGAGAGCTGTTGGCGCCTGAGTGGCTGGGGTCGTTGTGGTGACCAATGTGGGGCATAGGGGTGTGCTGGCTTTTCTTCAGCTTGGGTTTCTTGTCCAATTTCTTGCTGGAGTCACCTATTATCACAGAAATAAACAAACACACGACGGGTTTACCACAATCCATCTTGATCTGGAAATTTTGTCCAGAAAAATCTTAGTTTCTCATCTCCACCTACTTCTTTCTTCTGTGACAGGCTTTTTGTTGTATATTTTTGTTAACTTTGCTGTGAATTTTGACCTTTTTTTTACAAGATATTTAGCGATATTAAAGTGGAACTTAAAAATTGGTCAAATACGGTGAAAACTCCAATGGACACAAAGCATCAGCAAATATGTTATGAAAATTATCTATCCTCGTTAAAAAAATCTGCTGCCTTCAAGAAAAAGAAGGGGCACCTTTTTCCTTTATTCAGAAAATGAACAAAAACTGCTTTTTAACTTCATAACAGTTACATTGTTTCAACTACAGTTCTTAAATTTCTATCAAGAACTACGCTAACAGTGATTAAACTTGCACGGGTGAGCCTGATGTCAATCAATGAAACGAGTTCGTCAGTGGCTGACCTTCGACTCCGGCCAAGTTGGGCAGGTGAGTGACCTCCCGCTCTAGTCGAGGTGAGGAGGCCCCCTTGGACTTGCGCTGGCTGGCCGTCAGGACGTCAAAGGGCAGCGTGCGCTCGTGCAGTGTGGTCTTCTCCGACTGGACTGGGGTGGGCATGCCGCTGCTGTGGTGGGCTGGCGGGGGCTGGGCCGGCTTCTTGTAGTAGGTGTTCGTGGTGGTCTTTTTGACCTTGTCTGAGGCCCTGTGAGAGGGGGTAACGGATTAGCAAAATTAGCGCAACCAAAATTCAACTCATCCACTTATGAATTCCAAAGACAAAGAAAGGAATTGGCTGGAGGAGGATTTGAACCTTTGACCTCCAGAACACTTTATCGGCACCCTGCCAACTGGGTAAGTCATTGGAATATTTTCTTCAGGCCAAGGCAGTGTGGATGTAGAGTATACATCGGACAGTCGCCGAAATTATCACAAACAATTTGAGACATTCTGGGCAGAGACTGAAGCGAGGATATGTTGTGGGTGTTGGGAAAGCGAAGGAAGTTCTTCAAATACTGTTGGTGGCATACGGATGTGACATTCCATTAAGTCACATCTACGTAAAGGTTTCATCTATCAACACAAAACCCACGACTTATTAACATGAAAATCCTAGTCCCTTTTCCTCTGATGAACATCTCAGATTGCCAGAATGCCTTGCATATACATTGTACCGTCATCTTTTTTCTCTCTCTGCAATGCAGCAAGTCTCTAGCCTTTCAGGCATTATCCCTCCTATGCTGAAGTCACGTTTTGGGTCACTCGATAAAACCTCAAAGAAGCACAGCTGTGTTGTGTTGTGCACTGCACCAACTGTCCCTCACAGGAATATCAGATTGCACTTTTCTGCTGCCCAACAACTGTGCCTCACTGTTTCATGAGCATCACTGTGCAGTAAACCAAATGCAGTGATGAGGACTGCACAAAAGACCCTGGGTCATTTTGTGCTGGCAACCTACTGTGTACACACTGAACCTGTGCATGTTTGGGCTCCATATAGAAAACACATGCAAGAGAGTGACTGTGGGCACTTGTGCATATTTGTGCTGTAAAACCAAAGGAGGGTTAAAGACTGATGGTCATACCAATCGCTCTTGAATAACATACTCGCTGTAACCAGAAAGAAAATTACTGGTTGCAGATGTGCCATGGATTAATCTGTAATGCAACAACTTGTTTTGACACTTTAACAAACAGATCCACAAATCCAAATCCTCCCAACATCTTGGGGATTCTGAAGGGTTACAGGAGAGACGATTGCCAAGTGAACCTACCTGAGCGGGGGCGGTCCACTCGTACTGTTTGACGTATGGCTCCCCTTGGATCCGCCAATTGTCCCGACAGTTATCGTGCTCATGGGGGCCGGGGTGCCCGCACCCCCCTGCGACTGCATTGGAGGATTCGAGGCGCCATTGTGGCTGGCTGCCATGGTGGACGGAAGCATTTTGCTAGTGGGGGTGAGGGGAGGGATGGGAGAGCCCGAACCCGTCTTGCTGGAGGTCTTCTTGTGAGACTCTGACACATCCGAAAACTGTACACAAAAGAAAAGCAAAACGTCAAAGAAATAAATTTACTCCTTCTGGTACATTCTTGTCAGTAATAATTTGTTTGAAGCTTGTTATACATTACAATTTGTTGATTTAGCAATAAACTTATCACTAATACTTATCCTAAGCTGATTTACATTCTTACCATGAAGTGAGATACAGAAGTAAAGCAATATGAGGTACATTTTTTCGGGGGGGGAGGTCTTTTCCATCAAGGACAGAAGTTTGCTATTGCTTCATATACTTAATTTCACTTTTTCATGCGTACAGCTTTATCACTATTTTCTTTCACGACATCAGCCCTGCAAGTACCGTTGTGTTCATTTCAACAAGTAGATCAAAGTAATTCTGATCTGTTTCTACGAATTCAGGTACTGCACTTTGATCATTTTTTAACAGGGGAAATAGTGCCCCGTAGGTGTGGAAATTATTCTCAGTACCATTATTTTTACTCACTTTCCGGCTGCCTTCAGATGACACCTTGGCGTGTTTGTCACCGATGTCTGGGGGAGTGGACGGCGTCTTGTGCCTGTCCGCGTCCGAGTGCCTCTTTTTGTATTTCTCTCTCTCTCGCTCCTTGTCCGAGTGACTGTGGCTTTGGTCCTGAAAATGCAGCGTATATCAGAAGCAAGCTATAAACTTCACGGACTTTGGGGGAACTCTCCAATAACAGTATTTTTATAATTGAACATTTCAGAGGTGAAAAGCAATAAAATAAAACAAAGGAAAAAAGTCAGCAATATCAATGCAAACTTCATAATCGTATTTCAAAGTGTTACTACTGAACTTAAAGACAGTTGAATTCATATCCCCAAAAGAAAGGCTAGTTTTTCCTCTTTTTTAATCAATATTTTGTATAATTGGGTCTATTTCTTCTTTTGTGAAAGTTTCTAAGGAAGGCCTCGAATGCCATGTCGAATATTCGACTGCTAAAAATCGACTTGATCTTTTGGAAGGAAATATTCCAGGGAAACCCTCTCACCTTTTTGCTCTTTTTGCTCCTCTTTTTCTCCTCCCCGCCTCCCTCCTTCTCCTTCTCCTCGCCGCTGGGCCGCAGCAGCGGGTTGCAGTCAAACTCCTTGGCGATCTTGGCCCGCAACTCCGAGGGGAACTTCTCGTCGAAGCCGTCCTTCTTGAAGAAGTCGTGGCGCAGGAGCTGGGAGCAGGTGGGCCTCTCGTCCGGGTCCAGGTGGAGACAGCTCTGTTGGGGTGCCGGGGGGGGGAGGGGGGAGAAGGTAGGTTACAACGGATGATATCAGTGCTTTTTCAAGGTCAGGGTGATGTAATGGTGTGTTACCCAGCTTGAAATGCAACTTCTTCATTAACACAATACCTTCAACAATGCATGCAGTTTTAGGTCTTAGTGATGCAGTAATATGTCAATGCAGACACAGTGTTTCACCGATAGCTTGTGAGAAAAATTCACACGATTGCTCGAGTGAGAATCGAACCTATGACGACCTGCTCACAAGTACGGATATTTTGGCATTGCAACTCTAAGCTTGCCAGAACAAAACCCGAAGCGAGACCCAACATCGCAAATCTACACTCCACTTGAAAATTCTATTAAAAAGTTCAAGTCATGTTAGTGAATACAATTCTTGGGCATTCCCCAAAGTTCTCATTTCTATGGACACAGGCTTGCAAAATCTCGCAGTCACCTTTGTTGATAATTTGACTCTGTGCTTCGATTCTCAGACTTTAATTACAAAGTACACAGATACTGGAGAGGGTCCTGATGGACTGACCTTCATGACTGTGATGGAGAGTGCCGTCAGACTCGGGAATCTCTTTTCCAGGGGCTCCACGTTCCTCACCTCAGGCAGACGCATCCCCACAAACAGAGGGTTCTTCATAAACACCTCCTTGTGCCTTTGGATCAAGTTGCCTGTGGGAGAACATTCCAATTAACTTATTGCATGGTAATCAATATAATAGTTATATATAATTACAGTTAGCAAAATGATTTTTACACGAGCCTGGAATCTCATCCTGGACACTTGGGTTGTGATAAATTTCGTCACAAGTTTCACAGCTGTCAGTCCGCTCACAAGTCACATCATGAGTCCAGTCAACAGAAACTGGGCAAACAATGACCAAGGTACTTAGTACCTGTATGCCTTTGTCACAGCCCATCTGAATAACTTGTGACTGGGTTTAAGACTGGATGACAAATGCCAGACTCGTGAGGATGTGTTTAGCAAGCAAAGATCACCAGCGGACAAGTATGACGATCAATACAACTTACAAGGCATGGACATGGTATGCTGGTTGTCAGTGTTTGAAGTGGCAACTGGCGTGAGAATTCACGTAAGAACAAGACGGAGCTTTTTGTATTACCAATCAAAGGCCTTCCTCAAGGTTACAAACCATGTGCGCAATTTCATTCACGTATATGTACATGTATGTCTAGCACAGAAACAAGCACTGCTTCATTTCGCGAATCTGTAACAGGTTCATTCTCTTGGGTGTCGGGCACACAAAGTGGCACGGAGTTCATCGCCATGGGCAAGTAATTGATCGCCGGTGATCTGAGGTGGTGCTTCTGAATGCAACGGACACATGAAACTCACCAAAACATTTGATGATGTGGTAGAGCTGGTCTATGTCGCTATCGCCTGGGAACAACGGCTCACCTGTACACATTTCAGCTTGTAAACAACCTAACGCCCAGATATCTACAGCTCTGTGCGGGGAGCCAATCAAATTAAGAGACAAGTGAGCGCTGGCATACACAATGATTAAAACCCACAACAATAAAACTCATACACATATTAAATGCTCAAAAAAGCTTTTCAAATTTCATCATCGAAGGGGAACAGTTTGAGTACAGTACATGTAATTGTTCACAAGATGCATACATGTACCAAATCATGACTGCATATATCCTAAAACCAGGTTTCTTTCAAAGTGTTGCCCAACTAAGCAAGTATCAAGCAAAAGGAAAGACGTGTTGAGCAAACAAATTCACACTTAACGAATACAATGTCAAATATTGGGTTCCTAGGAAGTGGTTGACATTGGAGAATCCCGTCGGCTTCCTTGTAAAAATGTGAAGGGAGTTAAGTTGAGCTGATTTCTTGTAAAAAGTAGTCATGCAAAATTGCCCAAAGCTCCACGAAATAACACCAAGGCCACTCACTGTATCTTGCCGAGTGTTTAGTGGTCATCAGAAATCCCTGAAATTCAATTCAGTTGTCATCGAACTTACTTTCCATACTTGGTGTCCCCAACTAAGAGCTCTGGTGCCCTGTACCACCTTGTGGCCACGTAGTCTGTGTAGATCTCCCCTGGCCCCGCTATCGTCCGGGCAAAGCCAAAATCGCACAGCTTGACAATGCCCGACTTGGAAACTAAGATGTTCTCTGGTTTGATGTCTCTGTGAATTATCTGTGACAAGCGACAGTACAGGGTCGATTCTACTAATGTGATGACTGGAAAAGTAAATTTACATGTACAATCTGACTTTGATGATTGCAGTATTAAAACTAGTAAACCTAGCTACATTATATTCTGTGAATAATCTTCAACAGAATGTAATTGAAAGACAAAAATCTGGAGAAAGAAGTACACAGTTCTGTCATGATAGACTCCCACAGGTACATGTATATACATGTACATCCCTAAACTGTTGAGTAGGGCTTTAGTGTTCTATGACGCCAATGTGACAATTTTGTTGCAAAACTATTTATAACTAAAGGCAATGAAAGCTGTGGAATTCAAACTGTTTATGAGGATATTGGCAACATTCTCCAGATAAGAGCATGCAATTTTTCAGCCTCGTGTTGGAATACAGTAGATGGCCACATATTGCAAGACTTTCACAGGGAAACCCTATTCTCCCTTTTAACTGCAATATGACTTGCGTTAACAATGGAACTGGGTTAGCACCACGGATAACAAGACTTACGTTGTGATTGTGGCAGAAGTCGATGCCCTTTAAGACTTGCCACATGCAGCGCCGTACCACGTTCTCGTCCAGACCGTTGGGGTATCGCTCCAACTCGTCCAGTATGGTGTGATCCACAAACTCAAAGACCAGGTAGAGGCGCTTCTTGCGTCGGAAGACCTCGATTAAGTTGACCAGATTCTCGTGCCTCAGTTGCTGCAGGTTGTCCAAAAAAAAAAGAAAAGATAAATAGATTGATCAGATTTGGACAAATTCTCTTAATTAAATTAGGAAGTTCAGGTACAATGTAGGGTGTACAAGAACATGTACCTGACCTTGTATGCATATGCATCAGTGAAAAAGTCACTCTTCTGGGCAAAATCAATAATGATTACCGGACTTACAGTGCATAACTGAATACATGTATGTGGCCTTGAGCAAATTCTGATTAAGTACATACGAATCAAATCAGTGTTGCTGTTTTTTTACCTCGAAGTCAGTATACTGTTTCCACTACTGACTGCATGATACATGTAGCTGTTAATCAATGAATATATATGTGTACAAAACTTTTACATGTACATGTCTGCCTAGATGATAGTTCAAGTCTTATTAACCACGTAAAAAAAAAAATTTAAAAATAAAAAAAAACGGAAATCATTCACTTGATTTGAAGTCTGCAGTTTGGTAGAAACAGAAGTTAAATCCTTCAATCCTTGACTCTGCATGAATCCAGTACACATGGTACATTCTTATCAGTTTACTGATAAGTCCAACATAATTGCTTATCGTGTACCATACTTGTAGCTCTGTGCCATAGGAACAAAAACCCAGCAACGAGAAAGAGGCCAGTTCAAAGAAGTTCAGCAGATTTATCGATACATAGCCGCCAAACATGCGTGCATGTACATACATGTACAGTGAAGTGCACATTTGGGAGACCAGACTGTGATAAAATTCTTTGATCTCCAGGTTTGTCACGAGAGGGGAACACTTCGTCTGAGTACACTGTACAACATGTATGCTTTCACATTCAACCTATGACGAGAAGACGTTGTATTCATGAGGAAAGTACAATAGTGTGTGAAGTGCAACATAGTATTTATAATGCTCAGTTGTGTACATTGTTCAATAGCACACATCCCTCTCAAAGTAACGCACGTGACTTGAGTGGGCCATAAATTCTGGGAGCACTGCACTTCTGGAATTTAAATCATCGATCCCAAGTTAATTTTTAATGCAATAACATTAAAAGCAAGATCAGCCGACATTAAGCCCAATTTGCTCCTTTTATAAACAAGTTATTTCCTCCCCTCTAGACTGGACGACATTCATAAATCTTTGGAGAGGATCCACATTAAGTGCACTTGTGGTTGGTAGTCACCTAACTTGTTTTGGAGATCATGGCCAAATATTGGTAGTCACCCATTTTTTTGGACAATTTGAATTTTTTTTTTCCATTTCGTCTGCTAGTATCCATTAATTATCGTTTGATACAATCACAACTTCAATTTGCAATCTTATCAAGTCTGTGTGATCCCAGTGAAATAAGCCAAACTCAGAACTTTAAAGTTTAACTTCTCAAGGGGAGGTCAGCCACTTTCTTTTTTTAAAATAAATTCCTGAGAGCATTACATGTACTCAAGTTACACACAACCTACTGTACTTATACATGAAGAAAGACAAATTCAATAATTTTGAAAACGGCATGGCGTCCTCCTAAGTTGATGGGTAAATGACAAATTTCACCATGGGAAGAGTTTTCCCAGATCATATCACAACAGGCAATACATGTCAATTTTATGTACAAAAATTGGATTAATCATCCCTTCAAAGTGGAAATTCTATTTCTTTAACTAGCTGAACTGCAGTACATGTGCAGGTACAAAATGTGAACATAAACATGTATGTACTTTGCCTTTGCCCGGTAAGAGAAAAGGAACAAAACCGATATATTTTCATTTTCATGCATACTACAACATTCTTGCTTGTATAGGAGGAGACCTTGACCATTCGATCAACCTCAGCAGTTAAATTCCCAGTGCCCGGTGCATAAAGCTATGTGTACATGCAGTTCAAAGAGTTTGGATTTATATAAACACTACACAGTCTAGCACACGCCGCTTGTTATAAAATCAAGACTGGCTTGGAGGAGTAGAGTTGAGATTCAAGTAACCAACCCCAGTGATCATGTACAGATTGTGCCAACGCCACGTTTGAAATTATACCACACTCGTGTGTCCATCTGCATACCAGTAATCGGGACTGATTCGGCAATCTTCAACCGCAAATGAGATGTTAAAATGGCTTGACAAAAATATACTAAAGCAGAACACACCTCCGTTTGCACATGAATTAAGGATGTACATGTACACATAACCTCCAGCAAACGGGCAGAAATGTATTCACCTCCTACGTATCAGCTTTGTACAAGCTCATGTCTCAAGAGGACGCTGACTGCCATGTACATGTACATTATAACCTGAAGTAACTGGACAAAAAGGCACTCATCCCCATGACTCCCATCTTAACATGCTTAATGTGTATGTATTGGTGGGTAGGCCTTCACTGCGTTCTTTTGTTAAGGAAATTTGAACCGAGTTGCGGGGGCATTTCTGAGTCCCCAACACGTTTTCGGTCCCCACAAAATACACGTAGGTGAAATATCCAGCGTACGGTATGTCCCTACAACTACAGTGCGGGAGCACGGTGCACAAACACTGTACACATGAAGATCAGTGGGACATTACAAAGCAAAGACATTCATAGCAAGAGATTGGGAAGGGGTAGGAATCGGCATATATGTATTCGTAAGAAAATCTGGCCTGTCTCAATTCCATGGGCAAAATGCGCAATTTGCCAAATGTGCATTACGCGTAGCAAGCATGCATGGACATTTCAGATGGTCTCCCTATGATCAGACAAAGCAGACAAGGGGGATACTCTGGACTTCTGCAGAATGATTCCTTCAAAAGCTACAAGTACATGTACCGGTACATGCAGTGACCCATGTACATGTAAAGTAGGTTCATCCCCTGTGTTCATTAAATGGATAAAAGAAAGTCACCGAGCCCCACTCAATAAAGTTGCAGTGCTTAAATGTATCAAATTTTGAAAAACCAAATCTTGGATGTTGACGGTTTGTGGTAGCTGCAGTAGGGTTAATGAATGTATACAGGATCGGAAAATGTAATCATGACCATTTCCTTTTTTTATTTCCACAGTCTGAGCACAAATAGCAGGTTTCCATTACCATGATTAGAACACTCCCTGTAAAAATGTACATGTACGTACATGTATCTGACTTGAAAACAAGGTGTTGACACACACCTAAAACCTGACCGCAAGTCCAACTCTCATTAATCAAATTTCGTTCCTGAAAGGACCCCACATCAAACTTGCCTGCCATTTCCGTATGAGGCCAAAGTTTACGCCTAATCTCAGATGCATCGCCTGGCGCACAGAACCTCTCACCTGCCTACAAAAACACCCACTACATGTACATGTATGTAAATGCCGCCGGATATTAATTAGCCCTAATTATACCCCTGGTACACAACACTTATCTATTCAGGTCTGACCTTTGACCTCTTTCGTCCACTCAAGATGGGAAGAGAATGCGTGTAAATCACAGCAAGTCTGATAAAGTAACTCTGTGACATCTACAACTCAAACAAATTGCAATGTTATACAAGTTCATTTCAAAATTCACTTGCTTTCACAAATTTCAACTGGCTGGAATATGCAAGTGTGTCTTTACAACCAAATACATGTATCTTCCCTTGGCCATTTTTTTAAATTTGCAATGAACCTATGTCGCCTTCAACTCTTCACCTTTTGAACAAAGACAAACACAAACCATATTTCAAATTTTGTTACTCTGTCCATGAACATGTACATGTACCAATCGCAATATTTAGCCAATGAGCCAGTACATGTTTTTCAAAAAGCCACAGAAACAAAGCCACACATGACTCCCAAAAGGACAGACTATCATGCGTGTGCGTGTTGCTACGGGTATTCCCGAGTAGACTCATACTGAGCATGTGCTGTTGGAATACCAAACTGGCTCATTTACATCTAAGTACATGTACGTGCCGGTTCCATCCGCTGAAATGTTGCTTTGTGAGAATGCATCGTACATGTACACTGGTGTGCAGCTGGGAGCTTACAGACCGTACACGTATGTCATAAAATGCAAAAGTAGGATATGTGATATGTGCGTTGCCGTCACATTAAACCTTGCTCTGCAGTACCCTTTAAACAAACACTCAAACAACTTGACTTGGGTAACCATCGGTATTTGGATTTCTTTTCAAAACCTTGGCTGCAAGTGCACAGATACAGGTAAATGTCAATTCAGAAGTTCCTTGTGTTTGTACAGGAACAGGCATTGTGCATGCACGGGACACCCGAACAATCATCTTATCATGATTTCAATCAGGTTACTAGTAAGCAGTAAAGGAAGTGATAGTGCCATGTCTTCATGCATCTTGTAATGTTCACCTGACTGTATCTTAATAACGTCCAATACACGCCTCCTTGCAACACTGCATCTTGGCAGGATCAATTACTACCTGCATGTTCACCCCCCCTTCATCGGATGTCCTAACGAATTCTGCATTAATTATCATCCACAATAACACATTTTAATGCTAATCTACCTGAATGTACCGTAGACGTTTCTAGGGCATACTGACATGGCACGTTCAACCTTTCTTTCATGTCTATTTTTAAAGAACATACACAAATTTTCAATGTTATTTAGGATTTTTCCCTTGTGGAGCTGAACACTTTGTGACGAAGCATTGAAAGTGGTCTTTTTTTGTCCCTCTGTAGCAACAGAGGGATTAGGGAGTGTGGGAACAGCACTAAAAATATCCTGCAGTGATCTAAACTTGTCTTTTGATGGCCACTTCACTCAACTTCGTGTTTGTCGGAGGTACATGTACAACTCCCGAGGGAATATCGTCATTCCCAGGTCCAGCAATTGTCAACGTGTGGCATGTCCATTTTTGCAGTGCGAGGGGAGGGAAAAAAGCACCACTTGTACTCTGAGCGGAGCACAAGTGGCAGGCTCACAGTCACAGGTTCGACCGTTTGCACCAGGGAGAAACTTCAGATCTCCCGGGGCATACATCGAGCCTGTGCCACTCCCACAACCGAATATAAACCCCTTGTTTTCGAGGGCTAATGACTCCGGGCCTGGGCAATCAGCGATCAGTTGTCAGGGCCGGATGAAGTGCTGTGTAGATTTACCGAGTGATTCTAGAGGGGGAGAGCACACAGCATTGTCATGCTAATCTACTTAATTGCTGTAGAAATGAAACAAATGAATCGCTCACTGGATAATGTATTTGCTGCCGACAGGTGCACAAGCCAAATGGACAGTGCAGATATTACCGGTACACATTTTGTCAATACATGTGCCAGTATGAGTAGTTGATAACCTCGGTTCAGTGATCACGGTTCACCACCGTTTTACACCAAAGTGATTCCAATGTACACGTACAGTTATCACATTTATGCCAATTAATCTTGGATGTGATAATTCTTCATTTTGATTTCATTTTGAATTCAGGGTTCTACTGATTTTTTTTTTTTTTACAACTGATGCAATATTCATTCATTTGTAGTACAAGTTAGATTTTGACAGAAGTTTGACATAATGCATACTTGAATGATAAACTTCATCTTTCAAACGCCACAGAAATGAATACTGATGTTTCACTTACTTTTCAAAGAAACTACAGAACTTAGAGAGCTCAAATCAGTGTTTTTTTCCTGCTTTTCAAGAAAATTTTAAAATGATCAATCTAAACTTTTTCTAGCGAGTTGAGTCATAAACAAGGTGCAAATAAAATCAATTACATGTTACACGTGGGGTACTTCAAAAGAAATAAAAACCTGAATGTCCCACTCCATCGTTCCATTTTCCAATTACCGCTGGCAAACAAATGGTTAGGCCGACAGCACAAGGCAGTCGAGGCCCCGCAGGCCAGACAGGATTCCGAGGGGAAAGCGATATACATTTGTAATCCGATTCTGCGGGCTGCACTTGTGTGAACTGAGAGCGTGCAATGTGAGTGTCCAAACTGGCTGGGAAAAAAGCCGACACCGATATACCTGTGTCTGCAATGGATGATTGGAAACGAAGCATGCACAACTTTGGTAGAGCAACTTCAATTATAATTGTCATCTATTCGTGCATGAAATGCAGGTGACAACGTTTACAATGGAACGTCTTTTCTATACATTTACACGTACCTTGACACGTGACTACACATCATCATTAGTACTGACAAATGTTTTTCTTCTGTCCTTATGTTTTCACAAAGTGAAAGCACCACATGTACATGTACATGTACGGTGTACATTTACTTAGCTATAATAGGAGGAATTTTGTCAATGGCTGGTGTTCCCATCTACAAGAATGGCTGGAAGAGCACCAGCATCGCTCCCTTTCTAACGTACACTGATGTACATGTACTTGTAGAAGCCAAGGCCACATGTATACATGTACCTGTTACACTGAATGATTACATTACGGGTGCTATGACAATGGAAATGAGCCTGTCTTATTGCCTTTTGGGCTATCCATTATCCAACATAAAATATATTGCCTTTTACCTATTTTGGTTTTGTTTGTTCATTTTTTTTGTTCTTCTATGAGTAGGTTTGGTCACTGTTTGTTGATTCCAACTGAAGAAATAGGCCTGAACACAATAAATTAAGATAAGCACAGCTTTAGAATTTTCATTTTTTTATACAGCTCAAACTTTGGAGTCTTGTTGATTATCAGAAAAAAAAATTGCCTACACGTATTCTGATCAGTCCCCTTATATCCTCACTATTAACCTGAAGTTCTAACTCAAATCCATCACACTTTTGTCCTCTTGTTAAAACAATGCTGAACAAGTGCTTTACTGTACCAGTGCCATAGAGTGATAACGACCCATCACTTATTTCTGTTTATTTCTCCCAGATTGTTTCCGGCAATGCCAAGTGAAGTAAGAAGGCGGCAATAAAGCATTCCTCCGCCAAGTGAATGCAAAATAACAACAGCCAATCACTAGTTGAGAACAATATTTCAGGCCCAGTAACCATGGTAACATGCAAGCTGCTCCTCTGACTGATTGCATGCCACAGATTTATGGCAGTAATGAGAAACTCTTCCAATCAGCCTGAATGCTGCAGGATTTTACAACTCCTTGTGCAACCAGTGAATGACTGGAGCTCAAGTTCCAGATCCCGGCTTTCAATCCTTTGATGGATACCTCTTTCCCTGATTACGACAGCTTGTTACTGAAGCAATTTTACAAATTCCATAGACACGATTCCCAAGCCCACTTTACAGGGTATTAAATTCACTGCTAGCATCAACATCTCTCACTATCACGACGCAAAGCTGCACGTATGAGCAGTGTGACTGCGCAATCTCTCAGAAGACAATATCAAATCTTGAACAAGAAAGTTCTGAGCTATGTACATGCGTATTATGATTACCTACAGGTAGTGCCTTGGCTCCTCCGACACCAGAGAGTTCCACTGACAACTCAAATTCAAATTTCTCATGAACTACAAGTGCTGCTACAAGTCAACTGTTGTCCTAAAGTTTCTTTTGAGTCAGTACCCTCATACATATTGTCATAGAATGGTACCGTACCTCTGTACAACTCTGAATGCACCTCGGCAACTCCATGGTAACCGAATGCCATTTTCTATACATTTTCTATACATCAAAAGAAGTGCTATTTGAATACTTCAACTAGTAAAGTACCCGGTGTAGCAGAAACACCTCTAATTTTAAGGACCACCAAAATGAATAAAATTGTGTTGTTTCATTATGAGCCTCATTTAACATTCATAACTTGCAATGTGTGTATTTTGGAAACAATTTGAAATGGACCATAAAACTGCTGCTAGATATGCATGTGTAAGTGCATGTAAATGTATGTATGTACATGTACATCAGGGATCCTTATTCTATCTTTGCTAGGAGCAGAAAGTCCTGAGTTTGAGTCTCACCTGGGTACGCTTGTGGTTTTTTTAACGAGCTTTTAGGGGAAACAACAAGTATACAGTGTTACAATACACGTTGGGCAGGGCAAAAAAAATCAAAAATTAAATCAATATCTCCCGGACGCAAATCCATCCTTGGGAACAGCTGTTCGCGGTACTCGCTCCTACATCCGACTCGAACCAGCCAGCCGACACTGGCAAGCTCGGTGGTTGAGACGTCTGCACTAGTAAGCAGCAAGTTGTGGGTTGGAGTCCCCCCTGAGTATGCTTGTGTTTTTTTTTTCACAAACACTGAAAATACAGTGTTAGAATACATTTACCAGGAAAGGTATACATTCACACATTCTTGATGTGCCAAAATGTGTCAGTCTGTTACCCTGGAACTGCCCACTCTTCTTCCTTCTTCTATCTTTTCCCTTCCCGAAACCCCAGCCCCTCCCCAAGGCTCCCCGCATCCATTACCTTGAGCATCCGCACCTCCCGCAGCGCGATCTTTTTCACCATCTTGTCGTCCTCTGACTCGATGAACTTCTTGATGGCCACTGTCTGGTTGGTCTCCTTGTGTCGGCACTTCATGACCATGCCGTAACTGCCTTCCCCCACCAGCCCCAGGTTCTCATACTTCTCCATGGCGGTCAGGGTCCTCATCAGCCCACCGCCGAGATCTTCACTGCGGAGCGGGCAAACAACCACAACAAAAAAAGCTTTAGTTCCTCAAGCTCTGGATCTTACACAGGTTTTACTGTGAAGCTTACATGTATCTCCTAGGTTTACGGTACTGAAACTGTACAGGCAATCTTTATCGTGAGACTGCCAGGCAGAGGCCATTTTCTGCACCCCACCTGTGGGAAACGGTCGACAAATTCAGCATGCTGGCTGCGAGCGGGGACCTTGGAGTCTTCAACTATTCCTACTATTTGCTTGTCTGGGGTACAAGATTCATATCGGTACATGTACATGTACTTCGAGTATAAGTTTAAATACCAGTAAATCCTTTTTTCTGTTTACAGCATGAAATGGCACGATCTACATGTACATGTGTCAAAAATTGCCTCAAGTTGTCTACCGACATTTGCTCAAATGTCAAATCTTGGCAAGTCGGCCGTGCTTCTGTCGACCGTAAACTTGAAAAATGCCCTCTGGAATTGCCCATATTGCTGATGTTAAGGAATTTGCTTGAGTGTCGACCAAATTTCAGTCAGACAAACGTACCTTCAAATATTTCAATTACAGAAACTGCCTCAGAATTCAAGTGACGCTGTCCAGGACCACGTGTACATGTACTTCTCAAAGGCCACTGTTCATTTGTCTGTAATTCATATGGTTACGGAAATACTGAATACTGAATTTCACATCTTTTTTTTATAACCTGCATCATTGCCTCTCAAAGGACAGAAACTGATGCCTTCTAATCTGTAATTAATGGTTTTTCAGCAAAACCTTTTGCTCATTACAGAAACAAATGGGTACTTCATTTGGTAATTTCGAGGGCTCCATTGTTCTTTCTGTTGCTTCTACAGAGAGGATGTTAGCATGAATTATGATTTAACCAGAATTATAAATTATCTCACACAATCAGTCTACATGTACTGGTATATGTACCATCTGCAATAGTGTTCACTTTCAATTTGCCTCTTTGAGGCTGACAAGATAGAGAGAGTCCTTTGGTGAGAATGGCAAAAGAACCTTGATCGGAAAAACTAATGGGAGGCGGCTCACGGCCATACATATAACATGTACACATTCACTTCAAGGTGAGATCGAATTCATCCAACTGTGCACAGTAGGCAAGCTCCATTGTTGAATACAACACTTATCCCCCTTGGGTGTACAAGAAATAAATATTTGAAGTGGGGGATTTGTAACGATTGAATACCACAGCAATATAGCCGTATCTATGAATGTTAATTTCCCTGTAAAAAGCAAATTTAAAGTTGTGACAAACAGTGGGGGGTGGGGCACAAGAAGTGAAAATAGGAACCACAGTTGTGACAGTCAGGGGTGTGAGGGCATATCTAGGGGAACCAGGGCACCCTGCGGAGGAAAACATTATATGAACAAATTATTTGAGGACCTCTTTTGTCTTCAGTACACAACACAGATCTAGATTAAATTTTGATTGGACGTTTGAATGATGCAATCTTCTGACACGGTAGGGCTGAGTCAATTCGAATTCACTATTTGAATATTTCTTTTTGGCCACTTCTGAAGAAAGATGTAGAGGAATTACTTCTGCCAACGATCTACATTGTAAGTACCTAAATAACTCAAGACTCTAAATTTAGCATTTCTTTCAGACTTGCTTGGAAAACCAACGATCTGGCTTCAATGAGCTCAGCCATCAGCAGGTGTGCCCTGGTGATTTTCAACTTCATTTCCTGGCTACTCGGATATTAATGCCCAGCGCGTGGAAAATCAATGGGTGGCAGGTGGTTGTTGAACTTGCAAATGATCGGTGCACTGTGTAAATCATTACGAGACAATTTACTATAAGCCCCAGTGGCTATACTATGCCAATAGGCTTATGATGACAAGGGCGATTAAAAAAACCTTTGTGACAAACAGAATGTTATTGCATCAGGGGCAGAAAGGGAGATGATTAATTTGAAATCAATTCATTTTAATTTTTATTCCAATAATGAAACCACAGTTCCTCCATAGTGCAGTGGACTAGTATTTTTAGTGCAGACCAATACAACATACAGCCAAGGAGGGATTTTTGGAGAGGGGAGTGAACATATTTTTTGGGGGGAAGGGGCAAAAATTAGAGTATTTTGAGTGACATTCTATGGCCTTTTTTAGGGCTGAGATTCAATCTGGGACTTATGACATTTTGGGGTTGGGAATTTTTGTAAAACAGTGACTCCAAAAATTGCCATTTAAAAAAAAAATACAGCTATTTCAAAAAGCAAATGAAGCGTTCGTTCACATTTCACATCACTGTACAAGCAATCAGCAGCCTGATATCATATTAACTGCTTACTTGCATTACAGATGCACAGCGTCACACTGAGGCATTACACACCATAATTTGAACATTATTTGTCCATGTAAACTAACATGGGACCTGGGAACTACAAAATGTACCTGGTACTGGTATGTGAATTTCTCAGCTGGATATCTACATGTACGTAACCATGCATGAGGTGTCAAAATACACAAGAAAGCAGTAGGCCCACACAGATGACACAAACACATTTAGCAAGCATTGTGTCTCCTTCAATGTAAATCAACATGGACTCTAGGGTTCTGGTAACACAGGACAAGAATAACCTCGATGACGGACATTTGTTAAGTTTACAGGCTTCATAAGTAACCATGGTTACAGTGAGCGGTCTTTTTTCCCATGTCATCCAAACCAATATCCGATGCAATTGGGAAGTGCAAGAGTACATGTACATATATTTAACCAAGGGCTTAAAGTTTGCAGTCTGGGGGACCTGCACTGGAACCTCTAGTGGGTACGGCAGGGTTAAGAGTTGGTGGCTCCGGTGTGGAAACTGGGCCAGGAAAATTTATTGGGGAGAGAAATCGCAGCCAGTGCCAAAGATAGATAATACTGTCTAAACTTATTTGCTGTTGGAGTGAACATTCTACTTTGAAGTGGCAGAGTAAGCTAAAAAGGTGCAAGGCAACTCCAAGAAATTCAGGTGGGACAAGAAGCTTTGGTGGAAGTACATTACAAATAGCTGCCCAATGCAAATTCCTCCGCGAGTTCTCCTATGCTAAATGATTTACAAGTACTGTTTGTGAGCATGGAGCTACATTTCATGTGAGGCACTCAAACATGGCTTGGGGTCACAGCAGTTTCAAACTGTCGTGCCTATAAATAATTAACTCAGTGAGCACTCCACATTCTAGATAATATTTCCACACAGCCCATTTAATGGCGTTCATTCGGGCACATGTTCAGTTTGCAGCAAATATTTAAACTCACCTCATCGGTGCATGTCTCATTAAGGCTGAGTCAATTCGAATAGTGGAATATGCGATCCATGCGATCAAATATTCAAATGTTCGGTTGTGCCAAATTGCCACAAAAGTAGAACAAAAATACACGTTTTCACCAGATGTGAACTTGAACATGTTGAAGGAAAA